TTATACTTACATCCTCTATCATTTTCGTTCCTTATTCTCTTTCGCACGGTGACCGGCCCCATTTAAGATTCTAACGGAGAACCATTTTCATGAGGAGACGTTCGACGTACAACAACGATCATTCGGACCGCTCGACGACATGTGTCCAACACCGCGGCGGCGTGTACGTACACAGAATCTACGTTTACACGGTACCGTGCACACAAAACAGTTCCACGAGCACACGTCCGGCCCGTGTCCAGCGCCAGGCTCAACCTCGAACAGCCGACCAGCGTTGTTTGAAGCTGAGGCTCCGAGCGTCCGTCCACACGTCCCTCAATTCGTTCGGATGATAAGATTGATAACAATGATAAAGAAGGGAAACGTCGGGTGGCCAACCCTGTCTATTCTACTGCACTCGTCGTCCGGTCTCGTGTTACCCGTTTTAAAATAATCGCAGGACTCCGAGTGACTGATTGGTTCACGCTAGTTGGTCTCAAAAGTTTATCCTCGCAGCGACACCGTTCGGTGTCTCGATCATTTCCTTCCGGCGACATCGTTGGCGCCGGGAATCTGCCGGACATGCGGTCCAGTTGCAGGCGTTCGACGGTCCTTTGAATCTGGATTGAAGTTCGGCACGTGTGAAACTTTTTTCTATTCCGGCACAGACGATCGATATAGCTATCCCAGCGAGCGACCAGTTAAAGCGAGAAGGATGAACCCAGCCGCAAATAAAATTTCTCTTCCCATCGAATTTGTTGATCGAACATCAATCCTCTCCGTTGTTCTATCTCCACCCTCGCCTCTTCACTGTTGCCGTTAAAGCTCCCGTTTTACGGTTCGATCAAATTTTCATGCTCCTGCCAGCGAACCCGAATGTACCAAGCTTTGAAAGATTCAACGATCCAATACTAATCTCGTCCTGGAATCCTCTTCCGGTTCCTCGGACATAGCGCCACGGCCAATTAGCTTCTGTCCCGCGCAATTAATCTGAACGTACTCTCTACTGTTCCACTTTCGGCGTGTCCAACTCCCACGTTGAACGCTCCGCGTGCAGGACGAATGCCTGGCGATTCCGACGAAAGCCGCGCCGTTTTAAAGACGAGCATCGACAACAAAACCGTTCCGGTTCCGTTCGCAGAGGAAACGTTAACAGAGAACGTTTGAGAAGAGGAATGCGTGACGTTGCCGCTCTAATAGCTCGATCAGTTTGAATAATAACATGCACAATGCTCACGGGAACTCTCGTCTACTCTGTTTACTCTACCGGTTCGTGATCAGTTCCGAAAAAGGATAAGCCTTCAGGTTAGCCTCGAAAATCTCCGTTCCATCGTCGACGACGCAGGATTCTGAGGGTGCCATTTCGACGCTGGAACTGGATACCATCGGCCCCGTCGACAGGACACCAAACTACACCCGGACAACCGACTCATTCAGCTAAGTCATACCGAAGGAGGAACGAGAGACCCCTGCTTAATCGCGAACGAAGACGAATACGTTGTAATGATTCCAACGATTCTCCTCGGCGTCCATGCCAGGCTTCAATTGTTCCGAGTTGCCGCCAGCGGTGCCGGAACCGCAGCTGCCGGCCAGCTTGAATCCTTGATCCTGGAGCATGTCAAACGCCTGCTCAATGCAGCTGTGCTTCAAAAAGAACCTGGACGTGTAACGATCCGAGCTGCCGTGGTCCGGGTCGCGGCTCTCGTTCAGAGTTTCCCCGAACACGTCCCTGCAGAGCGTGACGCGGCCGCACACGAGGATCCTCGACAGCTTCCTAAACTTCACGTCGGCCAGGCCTTCGCGACCGAACGCGAAGCTGCCACGGTACCCGACGGTTATGTATCCGGTCGCCCTTTTGCCGGAAGACGTGAGAGTGCCGGCGAACTTGCCGTTCTCCAGGACCGCGCGCTCCAATCCGGGCAACCCATAGAAACTCGCCTCCTGCTTCAGCCTCTCCTTCTCCCGAAAGCCTTCGGGCAGTACCAGTGCCTGGTTGCGCAGGAAGTCGAGCACGTAACGGAACAGCACGCCGTCCCGGTCCAAAAAGTACCTGCCCTTCGCGTCCTTCTCGACCGGCGTTTTCCCGGAGAACAGAGCGGCCAGATGCGAGTCGCCCTCACGGGTGAGGGTGGTCAACGCGGTGGTGTAGAACACACCGCCCACGTTCAGCTCCACCACACTCGGCACCGAGCCTTCCTGTTGCTGGTCCGGCTGCTGTTGATCGACCATGCTTCCCGGTTCTTCGTATTTCCTGCTCGGCTTGCCCCGTGTGGACGCCGCGGCGCGACTCGAGAGTCAACGGCGAGTCGTTCGCGAGCCGACCGAAGCTTAGATGGTTTTCGGATTGATTGTAAGACCGACGGAGTGAGAACAATGTCGGTGAGAAGGGAAAAAGGGGGTTGACAATAATATCGCAGGCACTCTTTCTCTCTATTTCTCTCTCTTTTTCTCTCTTTCACTCTCTCTCTCTCTCTCTCTCTTTCTCTCTCTTTCTCTCTCTCTCTCTCTCTCTCTCTTTCTCTGTTTATCCTCGCTAGTGGCGGTGGCGGATCAACTGCACCCCACAAAGGCGACACTATCGAAAATACACGGCACACGACACACAGAGAGATCAGCGTAGGGTCGGTGCGAGAACGGGATATGCCACGGGTCGGTGACCGAGGGGACAGCTGAGGGCTGCGACGAGGCGGCGGACACCGAGGATATAGGTCTGACCCCGAAAGCGTGCGTGCTCTCTCGGGTCCAGGAACGAGACGGACTGACGATGAGAGACTGCGCCTACAGTCGGTCGAGGAAGGCCGAGCTTGCCTCGGCTTCGTCGCACGCTGGCTCTCGCTTCCTCTCTCCTAGGCAGTTCGCGCGCGCGGCAGGACGCAGCACTCGCGGTGTGTTATGTTGCGAGGGTTGATACGCTGGCGCAGAAGGTGCAACGGAAACGCGCGCCGCGCCGGTCCCTCGAAAACGAGAGGAAACGCGCGCACCCGCCACCCCCGTCGGCTGGCCATTTGATCACCACACGCGGAGACGATCATCCGCGTGTACTGGCCGCCTCCAATTTCCCTGTTTCGTGTTTCCCGTTAATTGATCACGGTTACATTCCGCCGGAGCTGATCCCTTTAAGGCCACACCGTGCCGCCCTCGAGCGTGTCACGATAACGCGAGACCCCGTTAACGGAGAAAGGGTTGACGGCTCCTCGATCCGATTAGCTTGAAGCGTTGCGTGCGCTCACCAGCCTGCCACACAACTGCGCTTTGTTTTCATCGCGTCTGTTAATTGATGGTTCCGCTTTTAGCCCTGTTGCTTCGGACCTTCGCCTTTGACGCCATACTGAACCAGCGGAACATTGAGGACATGTATCTGGATTAGTGATTCTTGATTCGGTCTGTGAATGTTGAGTATATTTTTATTTTGATGCATTGATAATTAATCTGTTGTCATTTAGATGTATTGATGTTGATGGTAGTATTGTAGCGTAATTGTTATACAAAAGTATAGTGTTTTTAATTTCAGTTCGGATCCTCTATGTTTGTAGAACTGTAGGATCGTATAATTTTGTATATACATTCCTCGATGTTATGTAACGTGATTTTCAATTTGAAAAGCAAATGAAACCTCGCGTGGTTGTTTCATTGGAAATCATAGCGTCAGATATTTATAATGAAAAGTTTTTAGTTATCGAAGCGTGAACATCGCTCCCCACCCCGGTTATCCCTACCTAACCGATCAGCTGGTTTCTCGAACGGCCGGAGCAGCGCGCTGATCAGTCGACCTTCGTACGTGAATTGGATGGCCTGCGATGGCCGCTGTTAACAACGTGAAATTGTTACGATCGCTTTTTGTTGCGTATTTCAACCCAGTACGTTCCGAGTATTACTTTCGTTCCATGCGGAATACGGTCGCGCGAAGGGAACTGATGTCAATCAGTAATTATTCTGGTGTTACCTCGCAGATCAACGCATGTGAACAGCTCGGCCTATCATCGTCCGTCGGAAACTGGGACGACAATTCCGCGGGATAAACCATCATCCGATTAAAAATTTGGGTCCACTTAAGTATCGTTCCTAGAAGCGACTCGTTCGAAATGACAGAGCCGCGTAAAAGAAACTTGCGGGAGGAGTCCAGAGGAAATGGTCTCAGAAACCATTCGTGGAGTAATGGACCTGACAGCGAAGACGAATTGGCTGGTGAAAATGAACTGCTCGATGAGAATGTAGTCAGTCCAAGGTTCGTAATTTTATCACACTATTTCTAAGTTTCTCAACAATCAGACAGATAAAATCATCATTAACGCCATCGCGCTTCGATTTCCGTGTGATTTTTAATCAATGATGGGCGTTAATATAACCCTTCTATCACTGTTCTTCTTTGTCATGTGGTTCATCGTTGTTTAACGGGCTATTGCACTCGGTATCATATCTTTGAAGATACGTTATTGAACTATATAGGTATTGTTCTGCTACTGGTTTTCTTTAAAGAATTTTTACTCGTTGTCTACTAAGTAAATATGTGCTGTAGAAGTTTTGTAAAGCTAGTGTTGCTTTTGTACCTTCATTGATGCATTGAACAAACGTTATTATGACACATTTAACGTCATGAACAATACAAATGATATCTTAAATGTCTCTGATATAGAATGCAATAAAAGAGTTTAAGAAGTCTTTATTACAAGTTTATCTGTACTCGACAAACAAATATTTTTTATGATAAAAATTAAGTGCTTTCCACTTAATGTCTTGAGTGCCAGCTTAAATTCATGTGAATTTTCATTTATACTACATGGATCCATGTGATTGTATTTATTATGTACATTTGTACAATGTGCCTTATAACTTAAGCGAAAAAATATATTTACTTTTAATAAATATATGATTATATATATTGTGAATTGTTCTTTTGGTCTTCTGTTAACAGTCATCATCGATCAACTATAGGAGATTCGCCTATTTGTAACATGACAACATTTGCAGAGGAAAAGATGCGCAGAAAATTAAAATTCTTTTTTATGAACCCTATTGAGAAATGGCAAGCGAAACGTCGTTTTCCATACAAATTTATTGTTCAAGTAATTAAGATTATATTGGTCACTGTACAACTATGTCTCTTCGCACATAGTAATTACATGCATGTGAACTACGCGTGGGATAATCGAATAGCTTTCTCGCACCTGTTTCTGAAAGGATGGGATACTACACAAGAGGTAACATATTTATATTTTTCCACTATGAATAACGTATATGTAATAGTCATAGTATACTCAACAGAAAAACTAAGTATATTTAATTATACTTGCTTTCAGGTGCCAGCTTATCCACCAGCAACGGGTCCTTTAGCAATTTATAAACAAGACGAATTTTATAGTACAATTGATTATGCTTTAAATGGTTACTTCCACCTTAATAAGGCAATTGGATCTTATTCATACACTGCAGAAGATAACTCAGTAGTTCCAGTTACTCTATGCTTATATTATTACAAAGAAGGTATTATATTTGGTTTTAATGAAAGTTACGTTTTTGACAAACAAATCGTAGAAACGTGCATCAATATAACTCGCCAATTTTACCAGGAACATAGTACATCAAAACACTTATTGTCTCAACAAAATATCAATGTAAATTTCTCAGCTCTTGTTAGGGCTCACTTATTATTTGCCTTAAAAACAATCAACTTAAAAGCTGCTGGACCAATGACACCACCAGATTGCTATCAATTTAATGTTAAAATTGATTTTGACAATCGTGATTTTGATGGACAAATGTTGCTCTCGTTAGATACAGAAGCAAAAAGATTAGAATGCAAAGGTGATACGCGTTATATCACGGATAGTCGTATTGAGGCAGCTTTAAGAACATTACTCAATTTACTAGTGATTCTCATTTGTTCTGTTTCTCTTATTTTATGCTCAAGAGCTATATATAGAGCACAGCTGTTAAAATTCGAAACTATGAATTTCTTCAAGAAAACGTATGGCAAAGTATTGAGTCTCGAAGGGAGATTGGAATTTTTAAATTTATGGTATGTAATGATCATTATAAATGATCTATTAATTATCATTGGCTCGGCCGTGAAGGAACAAATTGAACAAAAACAATTCGGCAGGGATAATTGGAGCGTATGTAGCATATTCCTAGGTACCGGTAATTTACTCGTTTGGTTCGGTGTACTACGGTATCTCGGTTTCTTTAAAACATACAACGTTGTTATTTTAACGTTGAAAAAAGCTGCACCAAAAGTGGCACGATTTTTATTTTGTGCGATACTTATTTACGCTGGCTTTACATTTTGTGGCTGGTTGATCTTGGGCCCGTATCATATGAAATTTCGATCTCTCGCCACAACATCTGAATGCTTATTCGCTCTTATAAATGGCGATGACATGTTCGCCACATTTTCCATAACGTCGTTCAAATCGCCAATGTTGTGGTGGTACTCTAGGATTTATTTATACACGTTCATTTCGCTGTATATTTACGTGGTTTTAAGTTTATTCATTTCTGTGATAATGGATGCCTATGACACAATTAAGATTTATTACCGTGATGGGTTTCCGAAAAACGATTTGCAAACCTTTATAGCAGCATGTACCGACGAAGCATCTAGTGGTCTCTATAGGGACGACTGTGAAAGAAACGATCTAACGGAACTCCTTGATCGTTTTTGTTGCTGTCGGAAAAGACCCTTTTACGGGTCATTCTCAGGATCAAGTGCAGAATTCTCAAAAGTGTCGGAACAAACATGCGGAGGAGCAATCTGTATATAGTGCTATGCTGGACAATAATGTATTAATTAAATATTACGGTTCCACAGCTGATACCCGAGATTACCACGATAATTTTATCGCCTAAAAGTACTTTTTACGGAATAATATACATTTGTCAACGTATTACAGTTGCCTCTCCATTTAGCTGCCATTAATATGTCGTACGTTTACCGATAGCGTAAAGGTTAACGACGCTAGACTTCCGTTCATTTTTGTTGTACAGTATAAAACTGAACAGTTTAGAGAAAATATTTTCACAATTAAACTCACAATACTTACAATCATAATGTCTATAACATCGTTACTATAAGTATAATATGATATATGAAGTATTAATGTTATTGAAGATAATTGTAGATAAGTAATGTTTCAACCAAGAAATTCAATGGTGCAAACTTTAAGTATAATATGTACTTTCTTGTGTCAATGAAAATTTATATGTATTATGTAAGCTAAACTACATAATGTGAAAGTCATCTGAATGAATAATGTATAATGCACAGTTTTGTATATACACATACACTCACACACACACATACACATCTGTGTGTAACATTAACAATTATTTTTTATGAAGATAATTAATTCAGCAACTAAATTTTTAATAATTAGTAAGATTAATGTTTTTAATTGCAAATTAAATAGTATATAGAGTAATAATCTCAAACAAAATAGTTATTAACTTGACACATAAGTAGACAATTAAAAAAAATCATCAAATCTGTAATTTGTATTATGATATACATATAATAATTTTATCGCGTCATTTTATACAATGTGCATTGTACATGGCATCAATATCTACATTCGATTTATGAAATCATAAAATGCATTTTATTCAAAACGAACGAGCACAATGAAAAAAATGTGTTATCCAAAGAAATATATTTATGATATTAACAATGAAGTACAATAAAATTATAATTTTTTCCAGTTATTATTTCGTTTTTTCCCCTGCTGAAAGTTTCCCTTTTTAACTGAAATTAGCAATTAAATTATTGATTGTGCAAAATGCTTTGTGTACATTTGTCTGATTGTGACTCATATATTTGCAATGTGCACTTTCAAATAGTATATTCGCAGATGTATATTGCGCTGAATCAAACTATATAACCTAGATAAAAGACATGACTCACAAATACCTATATATATATAATAAATTGAATCGTGATTGGCTATTATAACAAACTCAAAAGAAAATGAATATTAAAAGTTAATATTGATACTGACATACCTCTTGTTAATGCATTTTTAGAACAAAGAGAATGCAGCTACTCGTACGCTACCTTTGTTAAGAAACAAGAAAACATCCGATCACATTTTTCAATAAACCACATACACATATCATTCCCTGCAATTTAAAATACTGAAGTATCATTTTTAATTTCAAAAGTAATATTTATTTCTTTGTTTGGATGCACTTTATCTATGAATCTAGTACACCGAGTGCACTGACCTAAGAAATGAACAGAGGTGGTCACTGACCGTACCTCAACGCGATTCATTGTTTACATCCAGTTTTACGTCCCGAACTGTCAAGGTGAAGCGCGGCGTCAACACTACGTTCCTCTTAAACTTTGATGCACCATAAACTGTCATCAATTGAGTGAAAATTAAAGTACTTATTTTCAAAGTTTTCAGAACGTCAAGTGCCTTGAATAAATTAAGCGCAGTGTTATTACTGTAGAAATAATTGTCAGAATTTTATTGTGCAAAAATGTCTGCCAGTGAACACAGTATCTCAAGTATAGCTTCGAGTATTTCTACTTCTCAAGATGAAAATTTTCGTGTATCAAAACACGCGGAAAACAGTCTCAAAGTCATGGAAAAATATTTACACAAACAACAATTTACAGATGTTACGTTAATTGCAGGTAAGTTGTAGCTGAAACTGAGTTCCTTTGTTCTTAAACGAAATTCATAATTTAAATATAAATTACTTAAATACAAATTTGTATGATATAAAATTTATGATCATTAAAAAATATGTAAAATATATTCTTTTGTTCAATACTTTCTTAGGAAATAGACGTTTCCCAGCACATCGTTTAGTTCTTAGCGCAGGTTCAGAATATTTTGCTGCCATGTTTACCAGTTCTCTCAGAGAGTCAGGTCAAAATGAAGTTGAATTAATGGAAGTAGATGGAGATGCACTTTGGGCTTTGGTCTGTTATTGTTACACAGGTATATCTTTATAAAAAAACAGATTCAGTAATCAGTAATCCATAAATGTTCCAAAATTTATTTCTTTTCAAACGCAGGTTGTATAGAAATAAGAGAAGATAGTGTAGAAACTCTTTTAGCAACAGCATGTCTATTACAGCTCAATCCAGTTGTTAAAGCTTGTTGTCAATTTCTTAGAAAGCAACTGCATCCAAGTAATTGTCTAGGAATAAGAGTATTCGCAGATACACAGGGTTGCCCAGATTTATTAGAGTATGCACATGCATACACAACAAAACATTTTATGGAAGTTACAAAAAATCAAGAGTTTTTATTATTATCTGCTAATGAAGTTGCCAAATTGTTAGAATCAGAAGACCTTAACGTTCCTTCTGAAGAAACTATTTTCCATGTAAGAAATTGTATAATTTAAGTAGAGAAAAATAAAAAAAATGTTAATAACTTTCATAGTAGAAGAAAAACTATTATTCTTACTATTAACTTTAGGCACTTATGACTTGGTTGGAATATGATCCAGAAAATAGGCAAAAGGAAGCAAGCAGACTCTTAAGTCTTGTAAAGCTACCTTTATTATCTCCTGCTGTGAGTTAAACATTGTTATGCACTCATAAAAATTATATAATTTATAGATTTAAATGAACTTTATTGAATTCATATAGTTCATAGCAGACAATATTGAGAGTAATGAAATGTTCAAAGATCAAAAAGTAGCACAAGAATTAGTCATGGAGGCTTTAAAATATCATCTTTTGCCTGAGCGTAGACCATTACTTCAGTCAGGACGTACAAAACCTAGGAAAGCTACAGTGGGTCATATGTTGGCTGTTGGAGGAATGGATGCTAATAAGGGTAATTCATTCAAGAAATTGGAGAATGGGTATTTACTTAACTGATTGTTATTTTTATTAGGTGCTACCTCTATAGATGCATTTTCTTTGCGTGATAATGCTTGGAAACCAATAGCCACTATGAGCGGTAGAAGATTACAGTTTGGTGCTGCTATTGTTGATAAGAAATTAATTGTTGCGGGTGGAAGAGATGGATTAAAGACACTAAATACAGTAGAATGTTTTGATTTTTCTGCTTTTACATGGAATACATTGTCTTCTATGAATGTGCATCGTCATGGATTAGGTGTAGCTGTGTTAGGTGGCCCTTTGTATGCTGTTGGTGGTCATGATGGTTGGAGTTTCCTTGACACAGTAGAAAGATGGGATCCATCTACGCGGCAATGGAGCTCAGTATCTCCTATGTCAATACAAAGATCTACAGTTGGAGTAGCTGTATTAAATGATAAGTAAGATTCCAAGTCAGTTTACACATGTGTAGTCAAACACATATTTATCATGATACTATGTGTGTGCATTTTTCAGATTATATGCTGTAGGCGGAAGAGATATAAGTTCATGTTTAAACACTGTAGAATGTTATGATCCACATACAAATAAATGGACTCCTTGTGCTCCAATGTCAAAACGAAGAGGTGGAGTAGGAGTAGGTGTAGTAAATGGATGTTTGTATGCATTAGGAGGTCATGATGCACCTTCCACTAATCCTAATGCCAGTAGATTTAATTGTGTCGAAAGGTACGCATGTTTACAGAAATAGTTAATGGATCAGATATATCATAAACATTAATGTTTATGTAAATATCATGTAATGTTTAAAATTGTTTAGGTACGATCCTAAAACAGACACGTGGACAATGGTAGCACCAATGAGCGTCCCTCGAGATGCGGTTGGTGTTTGTGTACTTGGTGATAGACTGATGGCAGTAGGAGGCTATGACGGCCAACAATACCTCACACTTGTTGAAGCATACGATCCACATCTTAATGAATGGGAATCTGTAAGTCAAAACATTTAAGGAAATATTGGAATATGTATCATAAAAAAATGTTTATTTTAAGGTGGCTCCTTTAAAAGCTGGTCGCGCAGGACCACCATGTGTTGTTGTGAAGAATTTACCTGGTTTCGAATTTGATTCATAATATCGTGCATACCTTTGACTATTGAATTAAAAAAGAAAATGAATATTTTAAACATTTATTTTTTACATAATAAGGTGAATTCATGTATGTTATAAATTTGTGATTTGAAAACAGCAATACCTTGCATTTAAATGTATGTTTTGAAACTATTCCGATTTTTGTACGTAGATAATAATTTCTATATTAAGTTTGTGTGTCTGGCGTAAATTTGTATATACTTATATTTACTCTTTTTGTATAAACATATTGAAGTATTATGTATCCAAGAATGAGGCAACCATAAAGTAACATACTAGTTTTAAAGACATTTTAATAAAAGCATTTTATTATATTTTCTACTTACACTTTTGTACAGATGATAATACATCTTATAAACTCATGATAGAAAGGTGTGCGTAATGATGAAACAATCAATGTATGTAAGAACGAATTTATTTTTCTCAATGAGATACTGTTTTTATTTACATATGTATTCATATATATTTTGTGAACATACCTTTTTTAAATAAATAAAATGATCATTTTAACTAACTCATTGAGTATTTCTTAATAATATTATTTAACAAATTCATCCATTGTACTTTTTTATTTACCCTAACAAGCAGGAAATGTTCTGAAACATATATTAACAATAAAAATTAAAAAAGAAAAGTCGTGGACTCTGTGCGTTTCTTTTAAATGGGTCAATATTTACCGTGGAAAGTCCGATGCCGGTTCTGCAAATTTATGTCTAACCATAAAAGTAGCAATCGCTTCTGCTACTTTATCTGGAACATCTTCATGCACAGCATGTCCACATGCCGGTAATACTTGCATTTGAAATTTTCCTAATGAAAGAAATTATAATTTTGATTTATTTTTTATATATGACTTATGACCGATAAAGTTTAAAGTAATGTTACCTTGCATCTGACCAACAGTTAATTCTCGATCTAATCTATCAACACCTGCCAGGAGCAGTACTTTTGGAACTGGTACATTTAGGAATGCAGTTGACAATCCTTTAAACCAACCAGACCAATGTTGTTCAGTTTTTGATAAATCTATTCTCCACACATATTTTTTAGTAGGAAGGGCAGTGGTTGTTTGAGATGGTGGTGGCATATTTACAGGTTCCTCTTCTTGAATAACATCATCTCGAGAAATCGTTGTTTCTATATTACACTCACATGATGAGGGTGATAGTGAACCAATATCATGAGTAGCTAATTTATTAGTTTCGATGCTGGAACATTGTAAAATGTGACACATAAAAATTCCTGAAAAATAGCACTCATAGAAATAATGTAAGATGTATGTATACTAACTTTTTTATTTGTCCAGGAACTGAGACCTTAGCTGATTGTACATTACGGATTTGGCCACTTCGTACACTAAAATGTGGATAATTAGAGACATTCTTCTTTAATCTTGAATCTGATTATACAACACAAATATGTAACATATTAAAGAGATAAATAACATTTTAGTTTGCAGAGAATCAGCCAAAAATGCCTTCCTTCTGAAAAATGTGCTCAGAGTAGCAAATTTTGTTAACTATCAAAAGTGGAAAACAAGAGAAGGATGCAATACTTTATTGTTTTCTTTTTCAAACAAATATAAAATACTAACCACCACTCCACAGCCTGAGGTATAGAACTAAAACTAGATGGCCGAGATCTTAAAAAGCTTTGCATAGATGCTAATGCATCCATAGCTGTTCCCTCAACAACATCAATAACTCCTAATCCACATAGATTTGGTATTAATGGAGCAGCTCTGACAGCTACTGCACCACCCATACTATGACCCACAAGTATTATAGAACTATCTTCTGTTGTTGCAGCTTTTATAACTTCGGCTACATCTCTAACAATCAAATAAACATATGAAAATAATAATTTTACATTTTTAATACTGTCGTTATTTTTATTGGATATACATTATAATATTTAAATAATACAATATTTTACTTACTCTGCTAAAGTATCTCTAGACAGATCTTCCTCATTTTCTGTAAATGTATCTCCATGCCCTCTAAGATCAATTGCCATAACTTTACAGACTATCATAGTCATAATTGATTTCTAAAATTTTGAAAATATAGAAGATTTTCTCTATTCTACAGATCAAATAATCAATACCTACTGTGAATTCTGCCCATGTTAGTGCACTGTAACCACCTCCATGTAGCAATACTAACGTTGAGCCTTCCGTCCCTTTAGTATAAATATGAAATGTGCCACTTCTAATTTTTATATCTTCGGAATGATCGAAATATGGAATCCATTGAACAGGCTCATAATCTCTCTTACGTTGAAATCCTTTTGACTTGTTAACTCTATACATTAAAAAGACAGAATAGTGAACGTCTAACCAACATTAATATTTTATATTTAATATGCATTAAAACAGTGTTATTATTGTGTCAGTTAGATATTAAACTTAGAATTATTAAGATTTCAGTCAAGAATAGAAGGTCTCATGACTTGTAATAAACTAACCTAGAACCGATTCCAAAATTGACACCCGATGGTGGTAGTTTTGATTTCAAAATCGACTTTTGGAGGGAAGACATGTTAGTATTTAGCAGGCACCTCTGCTTTTGTAATAATACTGTTTACAATCACGTTTGTTTTCACCAATCTCATAAACACATTACAAACTTTAATATAGTTGCCTTAACCACGTTCAAAACAATGCCAAAATGCGCTCTGACAGTTTAATGTCGTTACTACCTGCAAACACCGTTTCTATCCTTGATATGGAGTGCCTTACAGAATTTATTACTGTTATAGCGTCTCTTCCATTTTTACCAAGTCAGCTTGTTCAAGTTATCGTATGCTGGTATTAAAAATCGACAGCTATTTTATTATTGGTTTTCAAAATAGTATATATTTTAAATACATAATATATCGCGTATTATTAATACAACCTTAGAGGTATAAACAAGTTATAAATGCTGTCAAAATAATTATTCACTGTACTCGAATACTTTGATTCAACAACCGATTGAGAGTTGTTTCTTATAAAGAGATATTCAATATATACAGTATTTAAACTGAAGATATATGTAAATTTAAACATATAGAATATAGAGATGCAATGCATCTAAATTTTATTCTTAAACACTGATTAGTGTTTTTAAATGCAATGCTAAACGTGTTCAAAAATATATCTTTTGTCATTTACAGCAGAATACCTAATACGGAAAACATTTGAAATATCAATTTGTTTGGAATCCTTTCATCAGAGTTGCCTAGGAAACCAGGTTTATATTTACATATGATTCGAAGCTACAAAGTGTACTTATATGTATATTAGTCACTAAACCGTGATTGTACATAAAAAATTTACAATAGTAATTGTATTTATACATACTACTTTTTATAATAGTTTTTAGCATATAAATCTATCAAAAACCATCGATTAATCAAATATATCATAAATAATATGAACTTAAGACACAAAAAAGGTATAGGATAGATATAACATGTAATGTAAAATTTTGTCACGCATTCTCAGGAAACTAGTACCCCTTACCATCTTTATGTCACGTCCTGTCATATCGACTAAGGCTGATTTTGCATAGCAGCGCTATAAGTGATAGGAATGAGAATAAAAAATATTGAAATTTTAAATGACAATCAGTAGTACAGTGTTGCCGATATCAAAAATTCTTTATTCATTGAATTAAATGTCGCGACGTATGTTTCAGTAGTAAAATAAAGCAATAATTTATATACCCTTTTTTGGTCAACTTCGATCATTTTGCTAGATGTAGTTTTCCCATTCACCATTCTCCAGGGCACGGAGGGCAGAGTGAAACTTCTGATTTTTTACACAGTCAATAATTCAGGATATGAGTTCTATAAGCTTGCAATGTCTGTCGTATACTTTAACTGTACTTCTGTATGCTATTATTCTATGACTTAACTTTCAAATATTTTCAAATTACTCAACGATTTACAATTTCTAATTGTTTCATAATACAGTTTTATGACGATATGGAAAACAGTCAACAAAATGTATTACCAAGTACTAGTCGCATTACGTATACATCTTGGGCACCTCAAACTCAAGGGAATCAACGTTTTAATTTTGGTGTCGATTCTTCGCCCATAGAAGAAGAATCTGTTGAAGCATTAATAGGTATTTAAATTGTATTATTATATTATATAAGTAATCATTCTTTAAATTAACTGTGAACTAAAGCGCTATATTCAGTTCAATTTTGTGGACATAATTGCTAAAAAAATAATGGAAATTGTAATTTATAAATTACTACATACAGCAGTAGTAATATTTTATATTTTAAAGAATTATTACATAAAACATGGACCATTTATGGTGTATCAACATTATTTAACTTTCATCGAGATGAAATACACCTAAAACAATATTCTAAAAAATTAAGGGAAGAAGTTGCAGCAACTTTAGCACAGGAGGATGTTATATATACAGCAAAAATGAATATTATGGATCATATAACTGTTAAAACTAGTTCAGTGGATCCAATACCAATAAAGGTTTTGTTGATAACAAGATGAAATATATATGTGTATAAGAAAAAATAATTATAATTTCTAATATACTAATCTATTTCTAACATATAGATAGAAGTACATGCCAAAAATTATGGCAAAGAAAACAGTATAAACAAATGTATTTATACAGGAATATTATTGTCTTGGAGAACAACTACTAATGAATTAGCTACACCAAATTCAATACGATTACCGCTTCTATTATGTCGTGGTACAAAAAGTAGCATGGTTACTATTCATAATTTATTAAGTCATATGTTTGATTGTATGATTATTGAACTTCCTGCTCAAGAGGATGATTTAATGTGGTTGATTCCAATTGTAATTATTCCAACTAATGTGGAGGAGCAATCAAAACATACAAGTGAGATTAGTATGGAATATAGAATACCAGACCTACCTGATACAAATGCAATAGTAGTGAAATTTCAAGTTTTAGATTTAATAAAAATATTGAGAGTGTACGTTCATAGATTTAAAAAACTTTATGTAATATTTTTATTATTATTAACACTATGTATTATTTTTATATGAAGAACAAAAAATAATTTATTTTGAATGTATTGTTTTTAGGATTATGGGAAATCAAAGTGATGGAGCCAATGTCGAAATATCATTTCATTTGGAACACATAGAGAAATTTCGAGATATTTTATATAAACAAATGTTACAAACTGCTTCCTTACAATTGGGACTATGTCTATTACGTAAAATTAATCTACCTTCATTTACAATCATGGGAAATAAAGTAAATAAGTATATTAATAATTATATTCTTGATTTCACTACATAAATTAATAGTTCATTTCTAAAATAACTTTTATTTTCAGATGAAAGTAACAAACATAGAAACCATGAATCGTGTTCTATTATATTTAAATGAAAAAGCTGTTCGTATCCTTCATACATTAACATCTGAGATTTAAATGCTAATAAATAAATAAAATACAAATTTTATGAGACTGTTAAACTTTGAAATATTATATTTATATTATAGTTATTTATATTTAATATAATATTTCAATCATTGCATACTGTACAATAATTAATTTTATAATTACAATAAATTGTAACCAGTCAATATGTACATGTAAGTTATATCTATAAAACAGCCTATTAAAATCTTTAATATATTGATTATATTTTACTTCCATAAGGAGCTCGTTTATCCAAATAAAACAAAATTTCTTTTTAAGAATGTTCGTCCGCAATATCCATCTCTACCTAAAAGTCAAAATATAGTTACTTAATTAATTATAAAAAAAATTTTATTTAAAAAACAATCAAACCTGCCTGTGATTCCAATGCTTCTTTTCTCTTTTTAGCTTTACTATTAAGAATGTAATATTTGAAGTCTATATATCCATCAGGCTTTTCATCGAGAGGTGCTGGTATAAAAATACCAAGTACTTCAGTCAACATGAAAGGTTTTAACCATGTTACAAGTGGAGTACGACCTTTAGTGTATTGTCCATCACGATGATAAAATAATAAGCCATCTAAAGGATGCAAATTCGAAAGACTTGCTAATTCTGAACTTACATCTGAATTACAAGTAATATTGGGTAGAGGCAATATTGGAAATGTATTTATGTTTACATTTCTTTCTTGTAACTCTTTTATTTCCTGTAATTGCGACTTTAACCAGAAAAATCTAAACTCTGTCTGAAATAAAAAATTTTTCATAATTTACATATGCATAATAAATATTAAAATTTAGAGAATTATTAAAAATAAAGAATCTTACATCACAGTCCATGAGCGATTGATTAGACCATGCAAGTACATCCAAGACATAATATGTTTTCTGCTGTTTCATCCATATACAATCAATTATAGTGCAACTGCCTCTATGGCCAGAGGGATTGCCACCTGGAAGTGCTGAATAAAATTTACCAAGTCTATTACCTCGCTTATTATATGCCTTAGTTACACCCTACAAATAATATGTGAAGAATAAAACTAAACAGAGAAAAATTTCTTTTTTGCTTTTGACATTCTTTTAACATGTTCCATGCCGAGCCACTTTTGAAGTGTCATTATCTATCCGCATGTCCTGTTTTTGGGACACAGTACTAGGTTTGCTAACTATATAAAAATTATGTACTTCTAGTTTTTTCGAGTTGTAAATTTATTTATCAGTAAAATATTATTAAAAACAAAGTGCATTATATGATAAAAAAATAATTTTCTTTATATTTGAAATATTCGAGAACAAAGATAACGTAAAAATAAGAGAGCAGTATTCATGTAAATCATTTGGCCAGGAAATGAGGTCTAAGTGTGCCTCATTTTTAGGACACGACACGGAACGTACTAACTTCTTTTAACATACTTTACATGCAACTACTAAAGTTCTTTTTCCTTCTGGACAAGGAACTATTATCCACTTTTCTACAAAATCTTGAGGTACATCCAACAACCACTCAGACATCATCAACTGATTCGCATAACATTTATATCGTTTGGATGAACAGTGCCTTCTTCTATCACTTTCATCGATTTCCATATCCTCTTCAAGTTCATCTTCGGAATTAAAGACTTGTTCTAGTATTCCACGTCCAATATTGAATGTATTGTCTCTACATCTAATGAATGTTATTATTACAATTATGAAATACAATAACAAATGTGTATAAAAAATATGCCTACTTTTTTTGAAACTGTAACAAACGCTGACGCCTCAGTTCTTGAGGAGTATCAATATTATCTATATCCAGGTTATAATTATCTTTTTTAATGGGCTTTTTATAAAATATGGCACGGGGATTACCATTTCCTTTTTCGTTTGTTTTCCTTAACTTATCTTTAACTTCTGTTGCCATAACTGTTCAATGCTTAATACTAAATTTAAATTGTGTATGGAAGAAATAAAAATTTCCTAAATTTTATTATGAAATTTAATTTTTCTTTAAGCATTAAAAGATTTATACGAACCTTTTTACAATATATGTGCAAAAGATTTATGTAATTTATATGTAAAATAAAAAATATTCTGATTCATTTTAATCTTTCAAATGATTTGCATTTGCTATCAGTATAAAATTGTATTTACGCACATACGTTCACATTCATTCAGTCTCTGCGATAGTGATTTTTTCTATATGTATATATTTGCATGAAGTTACTATTAATTATCACCATGAGTATTTACAGATTTCTACGAGAATAGATTATCCTGCGTCATGCACAAATGATAATCATCAACAAACATGTTGTGAACAACTGCTGCCAACATTTATTTTTGAGAAAATGATGAACAGTCTTGTAAGTTTACAATAAAAGTAACTAAAAGGAAAACTTAAAATAACTATAATTTGCTCTATTTCCGTTCTGAATGAAAGAACGTCAAACTGACATCACTGTTTGATCCTTAAGACAGTTCACTCACGATAAAGGAAAATATTAATAAATTGTTTAACAATGCAAGAGTATTGGTTACTCTACAAGTTAACTATCCGAATAAGAAAAAACAGATTTTGAGTTACAAATTTTTAAGAATTGACGTGTAACAGAAAGTTGTATGTGGTAAACTACATATATAATTTTATATTGTTTGACGAATATTTTAATTAAATACACGATGGATGATCAACAATTAAATAATTTGATTAAATGGTTAGACACATTCGATCTTCAAGCACCTCACTCATCTGCAGAGGATATAAGTGATGGTGTGGCCTTAGCAGATGCTTTGACTCAAATTGCTCCAGGATGGTTTACTGCTGCTTGGAGAGCAAAAATTAAAAGTGATGTCAATTCTAATTGGCGTCTTAAAGTTAGTAACCTAAAAAAAATAATTGAAGCTGTAATAGATTATTACATAGATGCTTTAAATCAACAGTTGTCTGGTTATGTTATACCTGACGCAACTAGAATCGGAGAACATTGTGACAAGCATGAATTACATCGACTATTACAATTAATTCTTGGGTGCGCTGTTAACTGTAATCAAAAGCAGCAATATATAACAAGAATCATGGGTATGGAAGAAACTGTCCAACAAGCTATTATGCAAAGTATTCAAGAATTGGAAAGTAACATGAATGGACCAAGATTAAGTTTAGGTACTAGCCTTAATTTTGAATCATTGGATGTAGCCGATGGTACTCATCAAAGACTATTAGCCGAACTTCAATTAACTGCTGACATGAAGGAACAATTAGCACAGAGATGTCATGAGCTTGATCAACAGTTGTCACTTTTACAAGAAGAGAAAGCTGCATTGGTTGCAGAAAATAAAAAACTTCAAGAAAGGTTAGATGAGTTTGAATATCCAGAAGAAACAGGTTCAATTTTAAAATATTCAGGCCTTAGAAAGCAGGTGGAAGCTCTTAAAGATGAAATATTTAAGGTAGAAACTTCTAGAGATGATTATAGATTAAAGGTAGAACTATTAGAAAAGGAAGTATTGGAGTTACAATCTAAGCAAGAAGATTTGCAAAAAGCTGCAGATGAAGCTAATCATTTAAAAGATGAGATAGATGCGTTAAGAGAAACTGCAGATAAGGTAGCTAAGTACGAACTTACAATAGAATCGTACAAGAAGAAAATGGAAGATTTGAGTGACCTGAGAAGACAGGTTAAAATATTGGAAGATAAAAACTTAGAATATTTGCAGTCGAAAATATATTATGAAGAAGAATCAAAGAGAACTGCAATGTTACGCAACCACTTAGAAGTTTGCAAACAACAACTTGCAGAAGTTCATCATAAATTAGATGAACAAACCAACAAGTGTGACAAACTAGAATTTGAAGGGAAGAAAATGGAAGCAAAGTTAAGTACTTTACAAAGAGAAAGAGACAGAGTAATCGTTGAAAGAGATGCCTTGAAAGAAACAAACGAAGAATTAAAATGTACACAGTTACAAGCAGCAGAAAATATAATGAAACCTAGTACTGATAGTACTGTTGCGAATGCAGAAATGATTCCACTAGAAATCAAAGAAAAGTTATTATGTTTGCAACATGAAAACAAAATGTTGAAACTTAAGCAAAAGGGAAATGAAGATAAATTACCTACAGTCCAAGCACTTATAGAAGATTCAGAAGAAAGGATAAAGAAGTTAAGAGATCAAAATCGCGAGGCTAATCAAAAAATTCTTGAATTAGAAAATAGATTAGAAGAGGCATTAGGAAATCAATCTACTGGAGAAAATAAAGCTGATAATACAAACTTAGGACAGAAGATAACACAGTTGCAATGCGAATTAAGGAAAGCACATGCAGATAAAGAACGCTTGATTCTTCAACTAGAAGAAAGAGATAATTCGTTACAAAGTCAAAAACAAAAGGTTTTCGCATTGCAGGAAAAGATAACGCGTAAGGAATATGATATTACAGCACTTGAAGAACGTTATAAAAAGAATTTAGAAAAAGCAAAAAGCGTTATAAAATGTTTACATCCTAAACAAAGTAATTCCTCTCCCAATGTAGTAGCTGTGTTAAGGAATCAAATTTTAGAACAACGAAAAATTATGGAAGAAATGGAACGGTCTTTAAAAGAATCTAAGTTAATTAAAGAAATGGAAGAAAAACTTATGACTACTGCCTTTTATCGTTTAAGTTTATCTTTAAACAGAAAAGTACTAGACCAACGTCTTGCAGCCTTGCAAGGATGTCAAGGACAGTCGTTTTTAGCAAGACAAAGGCAACCATCAGCCAGGCATCATTTGCCTTATAATTCTAAGTAAATAAACCTGTTTTCAAATATTTAAACTTTGTTTCAATTACATATATATGTATAAAAATGATTTAAGATTTTTTAGAATGCAAATAATTTATAATTTTATATTTATATAATATTAATCTTTAATTATTTTAATATTCCTCCAAAAATTGGTATGAGGTTTATCATTGACAAATGAGAAGTTTTAACCCCTCACATAAAATAATATTAATAAAGTAAGCATGCACTTGTATATATTGTACATGTATATTATTATATTTTATGCTTTTGTAGCACAGTAAATATGTATACAAATTATATGAATTTTAAAATATAAAAGTAATCATTTACATTTCTACTTATAAGTTGGAAAGGTGAAATATAATATCAATGTGCCTCTTAACATTTTTATTATATTCTATGTAATATTTGTTTAATAAATTTATACTTTATACTATTGTACAGGCACACTAGAAAAGTTTGAAGATTATACTTTAAGTATTTTACAGTGAGGAAGATTTATTAAAGAAAAAGACCCAAATATGGTGTGTAAGTGTATCATTTTAGAAAATGAAAAAGTATTAAAAGTAAGCCAAACATATTACTACAAATCTGATACTTGGGATATTTCAGGAGAATATTATTTTATTTATAAACTTTATTTATATAGAAAATAATATAAAAATTTGTAAACGTATAAAGTAAAATAAATAAATAAATGTATGTATGTACATAAAATTTGTATTTTTCATTTGGAGTTTTTATCTTACATGTATAGTACCCATTTCCTGAAGAAATTCACACAGCACAAAAATATATATATATATGTATAATAAATTTCATTATAAGAATATAACAGATCTTTACAAATTTGTTACACATTTATACACATTTTAACAATTTCGTACAATTTAGCAAACTTGAAAAAATCTATATTTTGAAAATAGTTTTAAAGTATATACACAATAAATATTTCTATAAAGGAACATATTGTGTTTACACAAATATACACTCCCTATATTTATGTAGATTTGAATATTACAATCATTTTTATCTGAATGTACATTTAGCACATTATATTTACATATTTGAAGGGTATATTGTTTCGAGTAACATTTGCCTTTCATTGCGTAACTTATCTATGTATGCTGATTGTCTGCCATTTTTTATAGCAGGTTTCACATTCTGTATTTTCATTATCTTTTGTATGTCAGAATAGCATCTTTGGTAATAAAATATAGCATTAAGAAAGTCCCAAACATTAAATTCAGGCCACAGTATATTACTAAAATAAATGCATGTATTCGATATCTGAAATAAAATAATAATTTAGAAGAAAAGAGAATGTAAAAGGGTAATCATTTTTAGACTTACTTGCCACATAAGGAAATCGCTAAATCTAACTTCACCAGAAGTACGAATTAATAAATCAGGATTCTGTGAATTATTTGTGTACAAACAATTGGAAATTAGATGTTCATCGATGTCTTCTAGAAGAATATCACCACCCTCAACACCTTTAATTACATCTTTAATTGAATTTGTAATTTCATCTCTTGCTAAAACATTTCAAAAGATTAATTATAATAGCAAAAGAGTTAATGCTTTAACATATAATATAACTTTTAAATATACAGACATGTGTAAGCAAATGCAATGTTAAGAAATGCTTTATTATGGTCTTTGGTGAATATCATAGCTTCTGCTATTAACTTTTGTATACTTTCAGGTAACAATAACAAGTTACCAATTATGCGAACACATAAACCATGTTTTCTTGCTGTGTTTCTGCAATTAAAATGTATTTATTATTTTCTGTTGTTTTACTAAAACATTTTGCAGTTACAAACGAATTTAAACATACTTTTCATCCAGTAGTTTTTGAAATTTTTGCTCTGCAAGATTGAATAGACCATTTACCTCTTCTTGTTTTCGTTTAAAATTTTCAATACTAAAGGCATAAAATGTTACTTCTTCTATTCCAAGTTCTCTACACCATTGTAGAGTTTCAGCAAATTTGTCAAATCTAGAAATTTAGGACATATATAAATAATATATTATTGAAATATGAAAATAATGGATATATACATTTCATATTAATACATACCCTTTTGAATGTCCTTGTATTTTTTGCATTCCATTTTTAGTCGCATAACGTCTGTTACCATCCATTATAAATGCTACATGTTTAGGAATATGTCCAGCTTTTAAAACTTGTGTAGCCAAAAATTGAAACCATGTAAAAGTACTCTCTCTTATCCATGACATTATTCACAAAAGTTAAAATACGTAAATGTTACCTAAATACTATAACACTTTTTTGTGATCCTTATGTTGTTTGCTACTTTAATTTCTAAAATTGTTTTAAAATCTAAAACAGATAAATTGTTTATTGTTTTTTATTATACATATCTCCACTATATGTAACAGCAAGATAGAACACTTTTATTTTAAAATATGTTGGATTTTACTCACATTTGGAAATAGAAAATGTTCAATAACTGTGTGCTAGCATTATGTGACAAGCCAGTATGAAAAAATTCAAATAACTATCTTACTGACACGTCGACGTTTAACCTTATTAACATTTTGAGTACGTGTTCAAAAATGTAAACATTTATTTCGTTACGTTTTCGTTTACATAGTTCATGTAATATAATATGTTACATTGGTTTATTTTTAAACTCATTAATAAGTTTTCGGAAAGATGAAAACCTTAGAAAAGTTACATGCTAGGGAGTGCATGTACATTCATGTATATCCTTATATATATGTACGTATATATATATTATATATAAAATATATAAATATGTGTATGGGTAGTGTATATATATATATATATGTACATATGTATATATATATATATGTATCGTTACACATCGATATTTCGAGTTCAGTCGAGTTACTTAGCATCCATCTTGAATTTCAGCCTTTGTGAAAAAGTGTTCACATTTCATTTCCTATGAACATATATAAATATTTAAATGCTTTAGATTTTAATTACTAATGTATTGTTTAGGTTCAATTACTCAAATATGACAACTTTTGTATTAACTTAACGTTATGACCTACAAAATTTCTTCAACAGATTACACAAGAATTATATTATTGAATTACTGAACAACTTGAAAGATTAAAATTAACAAAATTAATTTATCCATATAATCAATTGGAATATATAAATTCTTATTATAAAATAATTTAAGACTTTATGAAAAGAGTATTTATTATTTATTAATAATTTTCATCATTCTTTTTTATATCTCAAATTTTCCTATTTTACAATTGCGAGTCTTTTCTCTAAAAACAAATTCTTTAATATTAAAAAGATAATAGTTTAATCAGATAATAATGATGTTTATCGATTTAAGCCCAGGAAAATCAAAGTCAATTCTACTGTGTAAGAAGAATTAATTTATATTAATATCAAAGTCCAGAGTGCTTACTTTATTCATGTTTCATATAATTGCGGTTTTCTGCCTTTGTATTTTTACCTTCAAATGTACCGCGTTACATGAAGTAGATATCATACATGAAAATATTGTACAATGATAAAAATTTAGAAACTAATCCAATTAAAATACACATTCCGAATGTTAGTAATAATCGTTTGAGATCGTTTTCTTTTGAAATATAATTAAAATAAAAGTAACATTTCATTATATCGTAAGAGCATAATTTGGAGAAAATTATGCAGGGTTCTTGAGAAACGAGTTACGTTCCTGGATAATACGGTACGTTGTGTCGACAATCGGGTATGGGGGGGACTACTTTCCGTTGAGGAGGTGAGCGTGCGTGTGCGTCTCGCGGTCGAGACCTCGCGAGAGAGAAAATGAAATCTGAAATGGTTATTGCCGCGCTATGACCCTAAAAAGTAAATGTTTCTCTTTGTCCGTGAGTGAATAATAAACGATTGGTCAGGCAAAATGGAGGGCAGCGTGTCTAAGAACGGGACTGCAATAGCACCAGGTAAAGAATGGGAGCGATAAGCGCCCTTACCATCCGCAACGAAGCGAGGCGTGCGGTTCGTTCCTAAGCAGCGTTCTTTCTTACAGAACTGTACTTCCTAATTGCCAAATTCTTAGCGGCGGGACCATGTCGTGAGACCGCAGAGGTAAGCGTTTTCTGGTTAAAAATGACGATACATCATGGAAACGTATCGTAACGAGAAATGTACGTTTTAGGTGTTGAAGCGTGAATTGGAGCGAGCTAAGGTAAGATGATTGGTCTGAGTTGACGTTTTGCCGGGGTGACACTATACATACCCATCGGCTCCACATGGTTTGCACGTGGTTTCTGCTTGTCAAAACATTAGAATTTCAAGGTCGACGACCTTGATGTTCGAAAAATTGTGCCAGTCCTATTTTGACGACAATTGATCGATCGATCGACTAATTGTTCATAGTTACCGTATTTTTCATAGGTTTTGCCGCAAAGGAAAGATTGGGAAGGGCATGTGCATAATCAAACATTTGAAGAGTTGGTAAGTAAATGAATTTTTTCTCTCCATCAATGCTTAATGTTTGGTGTATGAGAGATCCATGGTACAGAACAGAATAAATAGGCTACTTTTTCGAATAACATTACAGAAAATTTTGTTTTGTTGCGTCGTAAGATAATCGATGAGTGTCGATACATGAAGTACCCCTATTAGGGAGCCTACCCCTTTTCTGTCCCACTCCTCCACCCTTCTCCACCTCCATGCTTCTGTGTGCTATTGCACAAGACCTCCCCCCACCACGTTTCTTTTGACCAATAAGCAGTTACTTCCGGCCATCTTGCGCGAGCTGATCAATGAGTATATCTCATGCCCAGACCTTATTTATAGAAGCTGGTATCGTGTGCGACGAGTGGGCTGTTCAGATTGGTTGTGTCCGTTTATTCGTTCTCCGATTGGTTGAAAGTAGGAACTACTTTAAACTACTTAAAATCTGATTATTGGCGGGAATTATGAAATTTTCAAATGGACTATATCATTTCTGCCGTTTCGAGTATAAATAAAATAAAAATTTTAATTACAATTATATATTAATTAAATAAATTCCACCAGTCTTAACAACGACACGCAATTTATTGAGAGGAATTGTACATAACAAAAAGTAAATTAAAAATTTCGATGTTCAAGGATTATAATATTTTAGGAAAAGAAATATCCTCATATTGGACCAGAACATTTACTACAAATATGTGCCAGAATTGGTCCAGTGTTAGAAAAGGAGGTACCTCCTTGTATACCAGGAGCAATATCTCTTCTTGGAGCAGGAAGACAATCTTTATTACGTACACACGAAGGTACAATTCAAATGGAACTTTATTCCAATGGACTAATATTTTATAAATGATTATACAATTTTATTTTTGTAATATAAATTTTTGTCTGCAGATGTTTTACGTCAAGTGCACAGTATCACTTCGTATTCTGGAAGAATAGGTGGAAAACCTTTCATGGAATCATCTTATAGCTTATCAGTGCCTAATATAGGTAAACTGGATATTCAGTATTTGAAATTAGAAGAAAAAATATTCAACTATATTATTGTGGTAGCTTATATTATATTTTCTTCTAGTACATGTACTTCAAGGAAGGGAAAATTCAGGACCTCTTAGTAGAAGGGAGGCAGTACCTACAAAGTTCTATAATAAAATGCAATTGTACAGACATACTTTAGGACATTTATCTGCAGTATATTGTGTTCTTTTTGACCGCACTGGCAAATATATAATAACTGGTGCAGATGACTTACTAGTTAAAGTATGGAGTTCTATCGATGGACGATTACTAGCTACTTTTCGAGGTGCATCTGCTGAAATTATGGATATTGCAGTTAATTTTGATAACTCTCTACTTGCTGCAGCAAGTCTAGATAGAATATTAAGAGTTTGGTGTTTTCAAACAATGTCTCCAGTAAGAAATTAACAATACTATTTATATTGTTATCTTCAAATATAAATTTGTATTGCTGTTTTTCTTTCTTATCTTTCATTTTAAAACATAATTTGTACTTTTAGATAGCAGTTCTTTCTGGACATTCTGGTATGATTACATCTGTCAATTTTTGTCCTATATCTTGCAACGGTGTGTACTATTTAGTTTCCACAAGCACAGATGGATCAGTTGCATTTTGGTCTCATACAAGAAAGGGAAATGAGAGAGCAATATTTCAGTAAGTTCTATTACATTTTTTATATTGTTTATCAATGAACATTTTATAAAATTTTAATAATCGTAGTATTACTTATGTATTTTCTTTTCGTACAAAAACTATGTGTTTTCTGCAGGCCAAAACCAATTCAATACCATGAAAAAATGCGGCCTGGTCAAGCACAAATGATTTGTGCATCGTTTAGTCCTGGTGGAGCATTTATGGCAGCTGGTTCAGCAGATCATCATGTTAGAGTATATGCAATGTTAGGAGATGAAGGTCCACGTAGAGTTTTAGAAGTTGAATCTCATTCTGATACTGTTGATAGTATACAATGGGCACATAGTGGTTTAAAGTTTATTTCTGGTTCTAAAGATGGTACTGCAAATGTGTGGCACTTTGAACAGCAACAGTGGATGTATAAACGATTATTGATGACCACGAAACTCCCAGGGTAATTAAAATATCATGTATCTTTATTAAACAAAGCACAGAAAATTTTATTTTTACATTATAATATTAATGATTATATTTTATATTTAGCGAAGTGGAGACAGAAGATGATACTAACAAGAAAGCTAAAGTGACCATGGTTAGTTGGGATGTGAGTGACGAATGGGTTATCACCGCTGTGAATGATAGTTCACTGAAAGTATGGAACGCGAAGTCAGGCCAACTGGTAAAAGTTCTTCGTGGACATAAAGATGAAGTTTTTGTGTTAGAATCTCATCCAATAGATCCTCGTGTTATATTAAGTGCTGGACATGATGGACAACTTATAATTTGGGATGTATTAAATACAGAACCAATAGCCTGCTTCCAAAATTTTATTGAAGGACAAGGCAATGGTGCTGTATTTGATGCAAAATGGTCACCAGATGGGACAATGTTGGCAGCAACGGATTCTCATGGGCATCTTTTGATATATGGATTTGGATCTGGTGTTCAAAAACTTAAAATAGTAAGTCGTTTTTTTTCGATATTTTCATTCTTTTTATATTGAATATTAATAAAATCCATGTTTTCTTTATTTAGATACCAAAAGAATTATTTTTCCACACGGATTATAGACCACTAATACGAGATGCAAATAATTATGTTTTGGATGAACAAACTCAGACAGCACCTCATTTAATGCCTCCACCATTCTTGGTGGATGTAGATGGAAATCCTTATCCACCAGAATTGCAAAGATTAGTTCCTGGAAGAGAAAATTGTAGAGGGGAACAGTTAGTTCCAAATATTGCAGTAGGTGCTGGAGGTATTAAAATTATTTTATTTCTTTTCATTGTTTTAAATTTATGTTTTATATCTAATTCAAAATACTTATGTAATATATTTATAATTAATGTAATAGGAATGCAGGAAGTTATAGAAGGCCTACCAGCTCAAGAACCGCGGTCTAATATTGATCAATTAATTGAAGCTCTTGCACAAAGGCAAAATATTAATCCCGAAAGAGAAGGTGGTGGTGACGATAGAGATGAAAATGTATTGGAGCAACCAATTCGTCAAATGGCTAGTCCTCGAGGGAGTAGATCAGGGTTGAGAAGAGTTGGTGATGTTGAAGGTGTACGACAAAGTAGCGGTAATTGGCAAAGAGATAATACTACACCTTGGAATAAACCTATTCTTGCTCGACCCATGAATCCAGCTATTAGGGAAACACAATACAGAGCTATGTACGTTTTAAATAATTTGCAACATTAAATTAATTCTCCTATGATGTCTGCATAAATATTTTCATAAATTGTTTAAAGTCATAAATAAATAATATTATAATAATATGTATAGAAATGCAATGGCAGACATGGAACTTGAGAATTGGAGACGTGAGATGCGAAGAAGGCCACAGCCAGTGTCTAATACTACCAATACCGAAGGTAATATAGGTAGTCGATTAGCAAATAGGAAACGCAATAGAACTGCTAGACACGGATATAGGACTAGAGCTACACGTGGTGACGAACAAGAGGAAGAGGAATTTGAGGTATTTTGAATATATATAATTAACTGAAATTAATAATTTTCTTCAGTATTTTTAACTGCAACTGATATTTGTAGAATCCTGACAATGGAGGAACTACAGGAAGTTCAGCCAGTAGTAATAGTAATGACTCCACAGCACATGAAGAAGACTTGTGTTCTGATAGTTCTAGCTCTGAATCTAGTACTGAATATTCAGATTGGATTGCTGACCATGGTTTAAATTTAGAGCCACCAAAAAGAAGTAAACGCAAGCCTGTAAAAAAGCGATCTCTTACACCACCAAGCGACACAGATAGAAGACGCAGTAGACGTCCTAAGAAAAAGGTAAATAAATATTTCTCATACATGTAAATATATTTTTTTATTCTTTTCCTGAAAATCTTTACTATTTCAAGGCTGTCCCGGTGCCAAATGGAATTGATGAAATCCCAGAAGTCTTTAGACCTTCTGAATGGCTCACTGAAATAATACCAAGGAAAGCTCCTTATTATCCACAAATGGGTGACGAAATAGTATATTTCCGACAAGGGCATCAATTTTATTTAGACGCTGTTAGAAATAAGAAAGTGTATGAACTCGGACCACGATGTGAACCATGGAATAAAGTGAATATAAGGGTAAGAATATCACTTCCAAACAATTTATTCAATATGTATTGTGTAGTGTAAAAAATTAATGAAAATTAATATTTTTATAGGCACAGGAATTTGTAAAAGTAGTGGGTATCAAATACGAAATTCGTCCACCTCGATTATGTTGTTTAAAATTAGCATTGATGGATGAAGACGGTCGATTAACAGGAGAAAATTTTACTATTAAGTATCATGATATGGCTGATGTATTGGACTTCTTAGTTCTACGTCAAACATTTGATACTGCTTTGGCACGTAGCTGGTCTGAAGGAGACCGATTTCGTTGCATGATCGACGATGGCTGGTGGATGGGACAAATACAGTCGATGGAACCTTTAGATGAAGATTTTCCGGAATCATTTTTCATGTGTTTTCGCGTGAGATGGGACAATGGTGAATATGAAAGAATGAGTCCCTGGGATCTTGAACCAATCGATGAAAACAGTACGTATGAAAGTTTTATTAATTTATTACAGATCATTTTTTTGCGTTTCGTTTAATTATTTTAGTGAAACCATTAAAATATTCATTGTAGGACTTCCTGCAGAACTTGGGGGTGCCGTTCCTGTGCTTCCGGAAGAGATACAGACAATACTGTACCAGCCTCATGCAGAAGAATGGCCTATGGGAGATAGAGAAGCAACGTGCCGCAGAATTATACGTGGATTAGATCAAGTGATGAGCCTTGCAATCGCAGAACCTTTTGTTGCACCTGTTGATCTCAATACTTACCCTTCATATGCGTTTGTTGTGGAATATCCTATTGATTTGTCAACCATAAAGGCCCGTTTTGAAAATCATTTCTATCGAAGAATCACATCCGCACAATTTGATGTTAGGTACTTAGCAACAAATGCAGAACAATTCAATGAGCCGCATAGTCAAATAGTGAAGCAAGCAAGAATAGTTACCGACCTATGTCTACGTATCATAAAGTAAGATTCAGTTTTTCTTTGTACAAATATTTGATATTGGTTGCATTTTTATGGCATTAAACGTTTACCTTATTTAAGATAAGATGAATTAAAAGAAAATATATTTATTCGTCGTATAGAGAAACTACAGAAGTGGATGTGCCAGCTATTTATCATCAATTACTTGATACATATCATTCTTCTGATTCGGAAGTTGACATGGAAGATGACAAAGATAAACCATCGACAAGCACTCAAAGAGCAACTTCAAGTAGAAGTTTACGGTCACAAGAAGTGTCAAATGATTGGCAGCTAGCTTGTAGACAGTTGTTAGAAATGTTATGGCAATGTGAAGATTCTATTCCTTTCAGGTAAATCAAATTCACATTACTAGGTTATACGTGAATGTTTAATTTATATCGTTTACTATATAGAATGTTTATTATTAATTTTTAATAGGGAACCGGTTGATAGATTAGAACATCCAGATTATCATCAGATTATAGATACGCCGATGGATTTACGTACAGTAAAGGAAGATTTATTAGGGGGTAATTACGAAACGCCCTTGGAATTTGCCAAAGATATGAAATTAATATTTACAAATAGCAGAAATTATAACACTAATAAGCGTTCGAGAGTAAGTAGTAAATCTTATTCTGTATAAATACAGAATTCAAATTCCTTTAAAAATAAATTTATTATTGGATGTTGTTTTTTTATAGATATATTCAATGACAATAAGATTATCGGCCATGTTCGAGGAACATATGCGGAAAATTATTTCAAGTTGGAAATCTGCCAGAAGACGTAATAATAATAGATCAAATGTAAAAGGAAAAGGAAAGAAGGGTAAAGTTCGGTTACCAAATGGGACAGGTATGTGTGCTTTTATAAAAACAATTAATAAAATAAATTATAATAAGACATAAAACAATAATAAGGAAATCTTTTTGTACATAAATTATGTAAAATTGTATTTTATGTTAAGGACCCCCAAAATCAAAAACCGCTTGTACAGATGATGATGATGATGACGACGATGATGCAAACAGTGATGATGACGATACAGAGGAATTGGGAAAGAAAAATGATTCTAATGTGTTTGAGCCAGGTATTTATTTTTAATTAATTTAATTATTCAGTAACGTATCTTTTGTAGAATTATAATTTTTTAATATTTCATGTATTTTTTAGGACCATCGCGTATGACAAATGGCCATAGCAAACGATCTGGTAATTCATCTCGAATGTTGAAATTACGTATTTCTAGATCTACTGTGGCTAAAAAGACAAAAGAAAGTGAAAGTGAAGCCAGTGAATCAGATGCTTCCATAGATAGTGAAAGTAGTGGTAGTGTGCCAGTAAGAAGGACACGAGCAAGAAAGACAGTAGCTAGTGCAAGTACAGATAGTGATTCTGGAGATATATATACACCTAGTGGTCGTGAAAAGCAAACTCGAAAAAATCGCACCAAAAATAACAAAACCAGTAAGCCAGGAAAGTCCAAGTCGAAATCATTTGCTCCTGTTGATGATGATGATGATGAAGATGAGGAGGATGAACGATTCGTTGCGCCTGAGTCATCAGAGGAAGAAAGTGAAGAAGAAGTTATTAACAAAAGTAGCACGAGATCACGAAAACTTGCATCTGCGTCTGAACACGAGGACAATGTCACGAAGAATGGGAAAGACAATGAAAGTCAAAGCGAAGAAGATGAAGATGATGAGGAAGAAGAGGAAGAACAATCTCAACATAATCAAGATTCGGACACTGAAGATTCAGATAAAGTTTTTGCACCATCTAGATCACAAAGAAGAGTTCGTGCAACAAGAGAAACGCGTATTCATGAAACTACTCAAAACTCTAGAAGAACTACAAAACGTCCTCGTTACAATGATGAAAGTGACGAAAGCAATACAATGCCTGTTCGAAATCGACGTAAAATTAAGCGTCAATTCTACGCGGAACAGAGTGATGAGAGTTTGCCAGAACCTGAAAATGCACCAGGCATTAGTATAAGTAGTAGGGGACGTGTACGAAAAATGACAGCAAAAGTCCGGGAATTTTTTAAATCGAATTGAGTATCATCCTATCAGCATCTTTTGTGCTAGTACTAAAAGTGTAAATTATTGATCTTTCAAGAATTGATTCTTGCAAAACATTTAAGAATAGTGTAAAAATTTTAAATGTTATTTGATAATGTTTGTTCTTTGAAACATGCGATTGTATCCATATTAGCAGCGTTACACGAAGTGCGTGTATGCCAGGATATTATTTGCCTGAGAATCTTAGCATAAGGTTACTGTATAGACTGTACGTATGAACACTTGAGATTGTCATAGCAATTCATGATACACACTGCTACAAAGTACTTCCATTATTATGAAGCACGTTGATAATGTTATTTTTTTATGTTCAAATACATCATCGAACGAATAATGTGTAAGGCAGATTTAGATAGCAAGCGGAAACAGTGGAACTTCATGGTATTTCTTTCGTTCTCATGATTATTCATATACAGTTTTAAATTTAATAATGCTACTGGTTCTCCATGTAAGGATATGTATAATTTCGACTCACTCCTTATTCCCGTTGTTTGAAATGCAATAACAGCTAAATCGTTATGTGTTTCAATGAATGATTATTTTTGCAAAATGTTTCAAAATGTTATTAATATATACTGGTTAAAGGTACAGATAGATGAATATTCTTTACAAATTCTGAATTTCTATACGACGATAGCAAACAAAACTAAATAGTATGTAATAGTGTTTGTATTAGATTGTTAAAAAAGTATGTTATTGTACCTGGAATTTCATGAATAATGCGCATCTTGATCAGGGAATGTATCTGTAAGATTAGCTTAAATATTTCGATCTTCTGCTTGTTTCAACGAAGTCAATTGACAAATGAAAAGCTACTTTCATGCTATGGTCTTAAGCAGTTAAAAATATCAAGGCATTACTTTATTATATATGCAATTAGTACCAGAAATCTGTATCAGTGTTTGCATTTGATAAAATTATAATGATTTATTTTCTTTAATCTTGAATATTTGTTTTAGCAAGAATAATATTTTACACTTCAATGAATTTAGCATTTGCAACTTGTATATTTTTCTGATTGAATTATTTCTCACGTATACTTTAGTAAAATGCAATCAACTTGAAATTTATTGATCTGTATAAATTAAAGATTGATTTTTTTAAACATTTTACACATTGATTATGTGTACATTTTAAAACTGATTAATTGCATCAAGTGATTCTATATGTAAAAGGAAACTGTACTTATCTATCACATTTTTTAATTTCCATTAAATAAGGCAGTGTCTTTACAAGTACGATTATTTATTCAGTATGTACAATTAGCACATTTTTCTTGTTTCATTCTTAAAGTTATATCAAAGAAAAAGGATTAATATACCTTTCATTTATAGATTTATTAAATTTCTATCGAGGATATTAATTGCATATAAATGGCACTGTTTTCGCTTTTACAATAATACTTAAAGTATAATGTTACTTGTAAATACAGACACAAGTTAAAGTGAATTCAACATTTTCTTTTTTACATAATATGCAAAGAAGTGCGTGCTTTACACGATCTGTAGTATGAAGTAGTAACTTTTTACATGTAATTTGTATGTCCATTAGAGGAATAAGAACCAATGCTCGTGCGAATTTAGGAATTTTTCATATGTAGAAATAGACATTTTTCAGATTTATATAACATAACAAATTAATCCATTCATTATATAATACAACACATTTTGCAAGGCAGTTATGCAATTGGCAAACTAATATAATGTAATGACATGTGCACAAATATTGGAAGTCTTGACTGTCTCGAGTCATTGTGATATTAGTTTAAGAATATTAAGTATATAATGATATAAATATTAATAACTAGGAGTATAATGAATATTTTTTTAATAATGCCTCACATAAGGGAGTCATATCATGTGGACTCAATAAGTAGAATTTCTGATTATATTAATTTAATACAGAATATTAACTTTGATTCAATTAAATATACTACAATTAACATGTTTCATATCTTAATCTTGAGAATTAATATAATTTTGTGTACATAAATACTGTTAAATTACCAAACTTAATTAACATGACAGCGATAGTTTCGAATTTGTGTAAAGGTTGAAACTTTAATTGTCACACCAATATGTTCTGTTGTATACCTAGTTTATCGAAACCCACCGTCACCAATAAAAAGAAACTATTAAATTGTTTCATATATGTATGTTTTATTTGAGGTCCCATATCATTTTTTATCAAGCAGATAATATCTGTTTAAGAAGAAGGTCATATTATTGACAATTTTTAAATTTTGTCTTAAAAAAAAACTCGGTAATATATATTTAAGTAACATAGAAATGTAAATTGTATAAGTGTATTCTATTTTTGTAATATTATATTTCATAAATATCATAGACGAGGTATAGGATAGATAATATGCAATGTAAAATTTTGTCACACGCTCTCGGCCCGAGAGTTTCGAGGCTACCAAGATCCCTTTACCATTTTTGTGTCACGCCCTGTTATACCAATTTAAGCTGTTTCGGATCTCTGTGCAGCGACCTCCCCGTGATAAGATCTGGATCGGTATTCTCCTCAAAATAGATTATATCCAGTTTGATAAATATTTTATTTTTCATTAAGGATTATACTGTGCTAATGGCTGCGAATCAATTAAAAATTCTGCAATCAAAACGCTTCTATCAGACATAAATAAAAATTATTGTTGTATTTGAAGTATAATCATCAGGCATAGCAACAAATATATATAATAAGGAACAGGATAGATTCGTCATTTTATACATATTTGACTTCATATCCGTCTAAAATACCAATCATATAAAAATCGAAGCATTTATAAATGTAAATAACTCATTTTTCGAGTTACAATCGAATTAAAATGATGAGACAAATCACCTGATAGTAAAACACCAGTTCTTTCTTTGGTGGCGCCATCCATGACAAAATGTTCAAGCTTGCAGCACGAAAAAAAAGGAAGTGCACAAGAATATCACAGGATCACAGCCTTAAGCCTGTGACCTATTAATAAGAAATAGATGTTACTGACATCTAACAGTCTGAATTGAAAGTCTATTTAAAACCTAACACAGAGACAGGATCAGTTTGCGATTCAAATTATGAACCGTAAATCTGTAACCACATTCTCAACAACGATATTTAATTTTATAAAAGGCACACATTAAAATATTATTTTTATCTTGTATTTGTTTATTAAAAATAGATAAAATATTATTAATATACACACATTCTACGGATTACAGGGGAATTTAAATGTTCTTCAGACTCATTACTTTTGGAATTGTTTACTATTAATTTTAATAATTTAGAAATTGGTCACTAGAAAGTCTACTCGATTAATTAACTCTGAATTAATGTACAGGAAATATTTGCAACACTAGTCCTCTGGTACAGCAAACTTCTTTTCTTCAATATGATGCAGCTGTATTACTTATATACACTCCATGGTGATCTTTTAATGATGTTGTAATGAAATTTGATCTTTTAAAGCTGCGGCATATTTTTGTCGAATATAGATTAACTCTTAACAGTCGTCAAATGAAATAAATTGTGACGATACAAATGAAATTAATAACAACCTGATCGAAGTCTTCCAATTTCCTTCGTTAACGAATACAATATTTAAATACAGTATTTTCATTTAATTTAAACATCGTCGATCACCAACAGCTGACACAGTATTCAACGCATTAACAACGTTACATGCTAAATTAAAGAAATCATTATATCCGTGTTCACTGTCATCAATCCAGTTCCCTATAAAAATGTTCACTAATTCTTCTAATAAAAATACCTTCAGTTCACTACTGTTAATAGTTACAGACGTTATTAAAGGTTACAGGTCTTTTCTAAATTCAGAACGTTCGATTGAGTCCGGCGACAAGTTACAATGAACGATTAAAAAGAAAAGAAGAAATGTAACTACGTGGGACAGTGCACGTGCGTTCCATCGAAAAAAGGGGATGCTCGAGGCGAGATTCTACGGCGCAAACGTGGCGAACTGTTCACGGTTCCGTCGTGGTGTCCTCTCCTCAACACTTCAGCGTGCTTGCCGCAACGCGAGCACGAGGCAACGACTGCTGACCCGTCATATTGATCGACCTGGATCCGCAATTCGCCTCTATCCGATTGCGCGGCTCGGGGGTGGCGCTTCGCGGGCTGCGCCGCGACGCTCTCCGCACGCACAAACGTTAGCGTAGTTGCAACCACTGCACCTGCTCGCACTGGATCCTCGTTCTACCCTATCGTGGGATCGTCCGTCGCCATGCTGGTGGTGCAGTGATCGAGGGATCTGTCAGAGACATCGAACGATCGACGTGATTTCGTGTGATTCGCACCCCGAGGTGCTGCAGAAGGTGGAAATCTGTGCACCGACCCTCAATCCTCTTCCTTCAATTCCAGTTACGACAACTCGGGATCATTTCACTATGAGTAGTGTACGTATCGAAGGTATTTGGAATTCTTTTCTCACGTAGATTCGCGTTCTCGTTTCACACGTGTCTCAGTAATTAGCTCGCGACAATATATTCAGAGTGTCGAATAAATTGCACTGCAAATATGTTTCACGTATACGTTACAGAGTGTTTAGGATGAGGGACAGTGGAGCTATGTGCACGCTTCTCCTTTTGTTGCTTGCGTTCCGCTTCCGTCTCTCTTCAACCCTTGCGTGGCCGATCAAAACGTACGGTTGTTGACAAAATCGCTTGATTACTCGGAAAATTAATGTGAATTTGTAAGAACGTTAATTGGCGTTATAATATTTCGAGAATAAGAATTTGGAACGGAATTTTGTGATATTTACACGAGAATTTGAAAACTCGCAAAAAGAAGTGTAAAAATGAGTATCTGGTTTCTAGACAGAGTTTAATCTTGACATGCTTCGAATGATAATAGTCTGACCTTTGTGGGACTATCTGCTAAATTCTGTTCTTTGATACCATATTAAAATTTGCCAATTTGAAGATACACGTTTGCATTACATTTTTATTTTCCGCGTCGAGTGTAAATAGTAATATGACGACAGTAGTGTAACCCTTTATGTCGCGGAAGGTGTTGAAGCCACTGCAAGGGTATGAAACCTATAAACATTCAAGTTCATTGTTAATCGGTATCTTTGAAATTGTATTAAAAGCAACGTGACAGTTGGAAGGTATTTACATGCCTACCATTACACTGAATAATCTCTTTTAACCAGTGCTTCTCAAAATATCTCATACATTTTGCTAAAAAGTGAAATCTACAATTTTTATTTTTTCTTTGTTTTCATGAGCACTGTTCTACTTTGAAATCAACCTAGTCATTGCACAGAATATAAGAACTTTCAATAACCATCGCCGTTTTCAATTTCACTCGTATTATACGTTTATTCGAAATTTTTATTGATCAACAGGTGTTTGAATTTTGAACACTATTACGTTTCAATGTCATCGGACTACAGTCGGTTGATAAGGATTATGAATAAACAGAGGACGAATCACTCGCTTGCATTATTACGTGATGCTACTATCTAATCGTTCAAATATTTATTTCTTCGGCAGTCAATTAAAAAGTTTTGAAATGTTATCTATCGTTTCTTTCCTGCGTCACAGCCAGATTATTATGGAGTTTGTGTAGAAACTTTAGTGCATATAATACCATGTTGCACACTGTCCGATGATATTTCCCATTATGCGTCTCATACATCAAGAGCCCATTTCATCTTCTTTGATGTAAACATTTATGTGCACGATAGAGGGCTATTTCACCGATCGTCGTACATATTGTCCTGTCGATCAATCGCCTCGTGATTTGAGGCATTTTGTTAAATTGTGTTCTGCGAGAACACTGGGGCAGTGTATACGCACGTACGCTGCTGCGAGATTTATTAAAACATATGCTGCATGTGCTCTACTTTACAATCTTGCTACGTAGACGAGACAGATTTCCTTTAAAGTACCAGTGATTAATTTTTTTCTAGAAGAAATTTTTATTAACGTTAATCACTGTCAACTTACAACTCATGATAATTTCCTTTTTTTTCTTTAAGTTGTGAGACGACACGTAGCTAAGCGTTTACAATGGTTTTCCACAAAAATGTTTGATGAAAATTTGTAGTACAATATGGACGTTGTTGATCTTGAACATGGATATTCAGAAATCGATTCAGTAAACTCTTAGTCAACTTGGCACGTGTAAAGAATCGTTTATCTGCAAGTTCATAGAAATGTAACGGATTATCATCGATGCAGTGTTTTTATGCAACTAGTGTTGTTGTAGTTGTTGTATCATTTCTATTTATATATCAGCTTCAAGCTGCTGTATTTAAAATTGCATTGGGAATTAATCTATTCTGCTATTGCGTGCTTTGTTACGTTCATTCCATAACAAGAGAACTGATTTCAGTCTACTTCCTTCTGTACTTATGCATATGTATGATGGAAAGGAAATTCAGAATATTTTTGCATGCAGTAAATATACAATTTTTTGTTTTATTTGATTTCTCTTTGAAACTTTACCTACGCGATAAACTGAACTTGAAAATAAAACTTACCGAGAAATAAAGCGTTCGTATTAAATGTTTCACGTATTCATTTTACTAGAAATTTATTTTAAAATAAGTTACGGAATTTGTTTTATATAAACATATTCTACGATACATGGTATTTAACGAGGAATTAAAAAACAAAACGTACTATTTACGAAGTTTTTAAACGTACACAACTATTTGTTAAGGCCTTGTTATAAAACCTGTTTCAGTTAGTTTAAACTAGTTAAATAGTCACAATTGTGTCACTTTTATGCACACGTCATTCATGCAGCCAGGTTAAAGTAGTTTTAACTATGGACTTCCTGCTTTTTCAACTGTTACATTTCGGTCATACATTTTAATTTCCCTCTTGTGAATGCAAGTTCCACCTTGGCATATTTTCGAATATAGGTCGTTAAATCCAAACGATATATTTCTGTTGCAATTTATTATATAAATTATATAAATTGCAAATATTAATATTTCTATGCTTAAAGTGCGAACAATATAATAAAGTATCATTTTGAGACCTCAAATCAATTGTACAACGTTTCTATTGTATTTCGAAGTAAATCAAATTCTTTGTAGATTGTTTATTCCTTAATATTTCACTGAAATCATATATAACTAACGTTGTTCATTTTGAATACTTGTTTATACCGAGGACCGTTTAAATAAATTCATGATATATCAATATCATGAACCAATGTCACGTTTAGCTAAATATTACTCAATAAATCCTCACGAAATAATTACTCGAAGTTACAGATAAAAAGAGAACGTATGAATAGTATGAAACCAAAAATGAAATTGAGGCGTGTGAAAACATCGCATGGACGTATTTCTGTGTAAAATCGAGTGAACCATTGCTCCCGCCACGCTGTTCGAGGGTGAAGATAACTCCGTCAGAAACTTCCGCCGAATCTTTTCGCTTGACATTCTTTCAGGATCGCCAGCCCCCTCCGTCGATGACGGTGACGTAAGACTAACGAGAAGTACTATCCAATGCACAACGGTCCCCACAAGAATATGAAACCGCATCGTTACAACAGTGAAAACGGTTCACACCGGAACAGTTGTCGTTCCTCGTAGCAGACCGTCGACGAAACGAACTAAACTGCGACACGTTTTCTTTAACAGCCGGTGTCTTTTATCTCTTCGGACATTCTCGCTTCATACACGCTTCGTCAAACAAGAATCGTCACCGGTATCTCAAAAGGTATGACGCACGTTCGCTTTTCTTCCTTCAGACATCGATTTCGACCACACTTCTTTTACATCATTAGAACCTTTGCATTTAGAGCTTTCTCTGCTTCATTCGAAATAAAAGATGTTGCGACTAGATGGTACAAAGTGGAGAATTCATTTAAAACAAGTCAGCTGATATGCTTTCGTTCAGTGATGCATTTTCTTTGATTCCTTGCTGCGTGAAGCCATTCTGATTAGTGTTAATATTTAGAGCAGAATTAAACAAGCGTTGACAAAATTAGTCACTTGCAAATGAAAGTATTCTTTGGAATATAATGAATATTTTCTTGTTTCTCGTCTACAATAGTTAAGTACGGTATCCGTCAACTACTTTGAAACTGTACTAAAAAATGACAGATCAGTTTCCTTGGGAGATGACAGTAATTTATTCATCTGTTTCATTATATTTTTCACTGGTTACGTGTAACCGTATCGATGAAAAACTAAAATTGATCAAAAAGTCCTCGCTTCGCATATAATAGCGTAGCTACCGAGTGATCTCCAAAGTTTAGTGGAAATTTGATATAATACTTTCTTCGTAGTTATTAATAAAATAATGACTTTTTAAAACTAAGGTTCTAATTACCAGTCTCACAGGGGAAGGGCAAGTTTGAAAATACAAACTGGTGATACTTAACGAAACAGAAGAGGGTTGAACCTCTTAAGCTTTCTTATTTATGCGCTCGGTACGCTGGGCGTTGTTTCAACGGAAACTCGGGGGACTATTTAACCCAAAAGCCTTTTTCCTTGTGCCGCGCATCTTAAGATGGAGAGAGAATAATTCATTTTGCTCGTTGTTGCTCGCGACAGCGCCTTTCGCGAAACAAATTGCAATTTAAAAGCACCGGAATTCCTTTCCATTCGAAATTCAACGGCACCCGGCCACGTGCGAGTTACTTATCGTTAAATAAATTAGCTTCGCTCGTTGATTCGATACGTTCGCGTTAACAAGCAGATCAATCACAACAGAATCCTTATCAGTCTGGAGATAAGTAACACTCGGGATAGAGAATCGGGCAGGAAACCCTGCCGCGGGATGCAAATGAGAATCCCCTTTAACCGGTCGGACGCTTAACGTCGCTTCTGTCGTCAAGTACTTCTTCACCCTATGGGCAAACAACACACTTCGCTTGCCAGGTCGATGTTACATAGAACAAAAGACGCAGCGTGGAGTATCCACTCTTCTGAACCTTCGGCATCGGTTGCGAAGAGGCCGTATTGGGTCAAGCAAGATGTAGTTTTGCAGTTTAAAAAAAAAGAATTAAAAAATAAATTTATGACGGTTACTAAATTTAATTTAATATATTCTTGGTTCAACGATGTAATTGGTTAACTTTAATGATTTAATATTGCAAGGTTACATTCAATTTAACCGATCTGTATACAATTTTTATTGTCCACTATGCTTCAATATTCCTTTACCATTTTCCATTGAGTTTTCATATGATTATTCGTATGAAATGATTAGAATGAAAGAAATTCGAGCTAAGGGATAATTTCTGGATTTTAATTGTCGGAAGAATCCGCATTTGGCGGGAAGAATTTTAAAGCGAATGGAGAAACTGTTGACACTTGAGACAGGTAACATATCGCTGCGGGTTGATAGTTTTGTTGTGTTTAACTGGTGCAGCTAGGCTTTCGAGTGACGTCAGTGTAAATGAAATTATAGAAACATCGAATGAGAACATGCGGCATTTTGTTGGCTCAGCTGTTTGCCGCAGTGTTGCTTGCCGTAAGATCTCGTGAAGACCATGATCTACTAATCCGATTATTGCTACAAGATACGCCGAAACACCTGGATTATATGGACTCGGGGACAACTTGGTTCGAGTAATTGACAATTAATGTGATTGAACCGAACTTCGGCGCGAGGGGCGTCGAATCTCTAGTTTGCGTGCTCGGATCATTGATAATAATTTATTTGGGTAATTGAAGCACGTCTATATTGGGAATTCTGGCGATAGCGAAAACAGAAAAGGAAAACGCAACATTGAGAAATATTTTTGGAAAGTTAAATTATTTATGACGATCACTTATTTGATACTATTTATTTGATTACTACTAATATAAAAAGTATTTATTATTCAAAATAAAATGTTGCTCCTTCTTCTATCGACATTGCTTTAATTAACGATTACAATAATTTCCTGATTTCTGGCAATCATCTTTTATTACAAATAACGCAGACAAAGTGAATAAATTCACTATCATTTTTTAATTTCGCTCATATTAATGTCGTTGTCATTCACATTAATTATTATTCACTTTATTGCAAGTTAATTTTCAATTGTTGTAGTGAAGAACATACTCCGAAGTATTTTTTCAACATCTTTTCCGACATTAGCTCGTATAACGCTCTCCATTAACAAGAAATGAACATATTCAGTTAAACATTCTTATCAGAACGTTAACGCATCCTTATAAACAGTCTGCATCTCTAAGTAACACATAGATCCATCCGAAATATTGATTTTCTAAAACGAGCGACTCTATTTCAGCTCTAACACACTTTGTCCCCTGATTACGTTCACTCGTGCATAATTAGAAACGGCCGGTGGTATGTGAACAGCAGTTGATGACGTAGAGTAGCATCGGATTACAGAATTCAGTAGCACAGCGTCGTAGTATGAATTCCAATTCATCGTTACAACAATTTCATTCAATTGCAATTCCGTTTTTTTCCACTTTTATTATTCCAGTCGGTCGCCTGACGAGCGAATGCAACTCGGCGAGTTGCACACGGCTGGCGTCGTTGTTTTAAGGGTGGAAAACGTGACACACCATGAAAGCAGATAACAAGTGAGAAGTCGCCACGAAAACCATGGGGACGAATTGCTTTATAGCGGGTGAGTTTCGGCAGTTGCCATGCTTCCGTACGATACAATTAATTCGCAAGAAATGATTTTCGAGTGAATATTTTTTTTATTGTACGTGTTTTATATATAGTATTTTTGAAGGAGTCCTAGACACTTTGAATTTACATACGAGCACAACTATAGAACATTTATGTGCAGGTTTAAACGGAGATACATCGTTATGATTCATCGAATTATAAATAAAAATTAGAAATTTTTGTAACTTGTATTTCAGATATTGTTATTTACTTATGTACTCATTTACGAGACACGCGAGTGATGAATAAGCGTTTCGACTGTTGGAAAGAGTTGCACTTTGATATTGGCATGTTTACAAGCACCCACAATTTAGTATTTCCTCCGCGTCTCTGTTCAGAGTATTTTCGCTCTAAATTCTGTAACATCAAGTTTCTTCGTCTGTGATTCATATCATGTAATGAAACATTGCCAAAAGGTGATGCTGATGAATGTGTCTTCGTTTAACTCGCGCTACTCGCAGCAACGATAGTGGTAGGCTATATATTATTCGTGTATACGGCAGGAATAATATTTAGGAAGTAATATTTTCTAGTAAGTTAAGACTAATGAATATTTGAAGAACATTTTTTCGTTCGTTAGTTCGTAATATTCTAACATCACTTAACCGTATTGCACTGTGGACGATAGTATAATGTAAAGCAAGAAAGAGTTCAAACTGAAACAGGAAAGCATAACACATAACACAATAAACATTATATTTATTATATTCAAATAATCTTCTCAAAAGAAATTATCTTACTTTTCATATATCTACGTTAAATTACTAAATCATATTTTATAAGATATGTTTACGCTCAAACTACACATCATTATCATCTACGATTAAAATTTCTTAACAAATTAAATTTTCAAAAAATTAACAATAGTAGCATTTTAATCCAAGAAGAAATCCTTGAGTTCATTTTTTAATATTTACTAGATTTTGAACTCTGATGTCTTAGACTTCGCGCAGAAACAAATGAGTAGCCGAAACAAAATGAAAAATGCAATACGTATATTCTCGTTTATGGTAACGCTAAAGGCGTAATAAATTCTTCGCGATGGAGTTCGGTGTGTCATTTGTCGCTTAAACCCTCCATGTTCGTTGAAACTTTCCCTCCTTCGAAAAATAATTGTGCCTGACTAGTTAGATACGAATGGAAGGTGCTTTATCGATTGTCTTGGAGGCGATCGAGCGCACCGCTCCGGGTGAGTGTGCAGCCGACGAAAAAAAGAGAACGGGGAGAAAATTGTAGCAACATAAGTCCAGTTTGTAATTAGCACACTTAAAGGGTAGATACAAGCATGACGTGCCGTTGGCGATAAAAATATCTCGTTTCCCGATTTCTTTCTATCGCTAAATGAAATTTGGTAAGACCAAACGTTGGTTCATGTCCTTCCAACAACTATGATATATAATTGGGCGGTATATGAACCAATTTGGATAGCAGAAAATCCAATTTAGATTTCTGGTTAGATACTTCCGTACCCTAACCTTACAATGATTACATTGTAAAGGTTTATTCAAGTCTTTTCACAATATCAACTTTTTTATTATACAATAAAAAGGTTTAAAATAGGAATAATACCAAAACAATAAGTTTCTACTTTCCTTGTAAATAACATGAAAGTGACAGTTAAATTTAAGGAACTCTTAAATAATTTTAATCAATGTTCCACTCGCATCACAATGTAAGCATAGAATTATTAAGTAAATCTTACAGCTTAGTCGCTTTAAATCTGTTTAATATACTTCGTGAAATGGGAAACACAGTTTATAATATAAATATAAATAGCAGAACTTTCTAATATTTATTCGAAACGAAATTTATTAAAAAAGATGGTTAAAGATCCATTCAAATTGTATAGGAACATTGTCTTTCTCGCTATCCCAGTCCGTCAACTTGTCAAGCGTGAAATCGACGGCTATTATTATCGTCAACGATACGCTGTGAATATAATAAACAATTCCTTCATACACGTAGTACTACTTGTACATAAACCCTTCTGTTATAAAGACCGATTGCGTTGTTAGATACCCTGCGTACGAGGTACGTACAAAATAAGTTTCTAAAATTGATATGGCGGATAGAGATGAGAGCCTGTCATTTTCTTATTAACTACATATTTCCCACACATGCTACGACAAAGATACGCTGCGTGCTGGAAGGTATGAAAATAGATTAAAAGTGTACTTGTCTGGGGAGCATAATAAGATCGATGATATTAACAACCCCTGTTCGGGAGCTATGAAAAATTATATAACGGTCATCGCGAAAGTGACATTCCTATACCGCGACGTCGTGTTCGCTGACTTGATATCAAACTCTAAACAGCGATACTTCCCGCGAACTTTTATGCTGAAAATTTAATTAGAATAATTCGTGCATACCTATAGCTAATAGAGTAGCGTATGTTACGTGAGAAAACGTGTTTGCATCGTTCCTATTTCATAAACCGACAGACCGAGTTTTACTTACGAACAGTGGAACATTGGCTTATTCTACTTTTGAAGCTTCCCTGCTGTTAACAATCCTCACGATAAATTTCTAGCTACCAGAATCTACAATCTACGTGAAAGAGATGGGAATAATCGTGATAGAATACTCATGAAGAAGTATCCGCAATCTTTTCTCACTGAAATGTACATACACATGTTTTAACTAAGATTAAATCGGAATTCGCAATTAGTGGCAAAGTTCGGTTAAACGATGATTGCCGGATAGATATACGAAACCATCGAAGGATCTCAGGGAATAACATTATTTAAACATTAACACTTACCACATTTTCTGATATCGTTTTATCGATCATCGTATAAATTATAACGGATCGATGGAACGTTCGGATATGAAGGTATCCTGATGTTTGTAGCCGTCATTCAAATTAGATTGCAACCACGACGATAGATTAGAATCGTCGCAAATAGCAATGACCAGTAGCAGTAGGAAGAATAGTGGTAGTCCTAGCGTTGTGCACCCGTTTTTTTTTCCTTGTTCGTGATTATCGTTTCGTAGCTATTCGCATTCACAGCCGTCCTCCTCGTCATCGTCTAAAATAATGACCGATGTTTCGTTTCAGCGGCAATTGTACTCGCGGTTGCCACCGTCTGTCGCGCGGAGTGCCAGAGTGAGTGATCAAACCAGCTTCTTCTTCTGTGTCCTTGTTGTCATCGCTGTATATCAACGTTGTACCGCAGCGCTCGCGTCTTCGGACTCGATTTATTTTTCAACGCGAACTTCTGTTTCTATTTTTATTCTTCAGTTCCGTGGGCAACAGTAGTATAGATTTAATTCAATATGATTTGCTGGTAACAACAGAAAATAAAAATTGTGCTTGACAATTATGTTCGAAAATTATATTGAAACAAGACGAGTCAATTTCTGAATTCTGCATCGCGAGTTTATCTTTGATTATCAACTCGTTAAGAATACTTCGACACGCGTCGAAGCGTTCTAGCAATTTTCTAAAAGCCTGCGCAACCGTTTATTCTATTTTTGAGGCTGCAACTTGAAAGGACAATTGGTCTCACTGTGATATTTTCCAGCTCGCTCCGTTTACTGCTACGAATGCGACTCGTGGACGGATCTGAGATGCAAGGATCCTTTCAACTACACTGCGCTCCCTAGGGATCAACCACCCTTGATGACCTGCAATGGCTGTTGCGTCAAAATGGTTCGCAATGCGAAATCACGTGAGTGTCTATTGAAATTGTTCTACCAATAGCCAGGAAATCGTGACAAATAAGAATTGAAAATGCTTAAACTAAAAAATATCCTTATTACTACCTACATTACCTACATTAATCTAGAAAGTGAATCTATAATTTATAGATTATACTCTACTCTTAACAAATCTTTAATTCTTTACACTCGATAGTCTCCCACCAGAAATATTCAACATTTTTCAATAAGATACATACGTTCAATATTGAATATTAAACTTTATATATAAACTTAACATTGAATATCAATCTTTAATTTGTCTGTATCGAATCAATTCACTTCTGAAACGAGGTAATTTTAATATGAACCACGAATCTAAATCATCGCCGTTCTCTGTTCGCAGCCTACGAAAGTGTGAGACGGACCTGCACTTCGCAGCTACAGATAAATTTATTCATGGTGGACCACGTGTGCATGATGGAAAGTACCGGCACTGGTCACATGTGCTTCTGTGAGGAGGATATGTGCAATCGTGTCTCCCCGACCTCGTGTTCGAATCCCGTACTCCTGACGATCCTGTCGATCATCCTTGTACTACGCTCGGTCATCGTACGGGTCCCAGCTTGCTTTGTAGAACGTTGCAATGGTCACGTTGTATAACACTGATTTACTCGACTCACCCGCAGTGGTTTTCCGATCATATCCTCGTAGACGTTTAGTTCTTAGTCGGCGACACGAACTACCCCTCTACTTTGTCGGGAAGAGCGAGCTCGAATAATAGAAACTGTCCTTTTCTATGGGGATAGAAAGAAAAGTTAGAGGTAAGGTACCGTGTTGCTTCGCAGAGAAGAGGAGGCTCGACAAATAACGATCATCTTGAATTACGAAGTTTCATATTGTAAATGGACCCAGCAATCAAGAGCTTTTCTCTTCTTCTCTTACGAAGATCTTGCACTCAGCGTATCGCTCGTCCCGACACACATTTTTTCTCTCTCTCTCTCTCTCTCTCTCTCTCTCCCCCTCTCTCTCTCCCTTTCTCTCTTTCTGTCTCTCTATTCGACATAGAAAGTAGCAAGAGACCTCAAACGTGTTCTGTGTAGACAAATCATTCGACTCTCTATCACTCTCACGATTTTTCTCACGAGCCCTTACATCTCTTTTAGTTCGGTGGCTCCATGGGGGACACCGTTCGGCATTGCTGTAATGAATTCGTGATACGTGCACTGGAAAGGAAACTGTCCCTGTCAGACATGCACTCGTGACCTGAACAATTCGTTACTCGGGTTTTTCGTCCGTCTTGCACGAAGCTACCAAGCACTTTAACCCCTTGCGGTCTGAGTAGAATGACGTTCAACTGATACGGTAATCTGATAAATTTATAGAATTAATCGACGTGATTTTGCTACGCGAAAGTGCGATGATTGATCCTTTCTCTGAGGAACTGCTAGGGGTTAAACGATTCGAATCCCTTTTTTCCCAATGAATGTGGTCAAAGAAAGCCTCGATTTTCGGGAACGAAGTGGAAAAGGGTGTCACGCGTTTGAATTTGCCAGGAAGTGCCGCGTCACACGACGAGACTCGGATATCATTGAGCCTCTCGGGATACGAAAGTTTGTTTTCAACGAAACGGTTCTGCATGTGATCGATTTATTTGTCCAAATATTATTTGACTCGTTCATTGATTCTATTTTCTTGTATTCATTGCATCTTCTGCAACCCTTTTTGACTCTCATGATGCATCTGTTCGTGATCACATAGAGTACGGCTTCATGGGAATAGAGATGCTTTCGATACCTACAGCGACCTAGGTATTTACGCGTCGGAACGATTCGTTGGAATGTTTCTCAGTAGAGTTCTGTCACCCGCTTGACGCCACCCTCGTCCTGTACCAGGTCCGCCATGTTCCCCAACGATCATAGAACACGAAATTACGTGACGTAGGTATATGATACTCGCAAAAGTTGTCCGATCATTGCAAGACACCTAGGATGTCAGTGTGTGTTACTTTGGTTCCGTTACCTCACACATTTGCCCGCTTCTCCATCGCGTGCGTCTTGCACTTGAGAGCGACAGACCATTTTGTGGATGATTTCTTGGAGTGACGAAGGATAACCGAGCGGAGACACGGAGAGATGCAGTAAGAATGGAAATTAGACGATTGTTCCGATGCATAGAAGTCGATTGTTCAGTTGCCGTTCGTTAATACTTCAAATGCCCGTAGAACTGGTCTAGCTAACATTTGATACGCCACGTTTGTATTATCGAGAAGTACCGATCAGCGTTAACAGTAACAGTCTACTGCTTTCGAAGTGATAGAAAAGAGGATAGATTCTATAGCGATAACGTAATATTGTAAATAATTATTTACTACATTAAATACCGACGAAACAGTAGAGTATGTCTCGTACGAAGATCTTAAGAGAACGGTTCAAAGTGGCGTCTTCGAAAAGAAGAATTTTAATCCAGATGTTAGTGGAAGTTAAATGACATTCGACGTCTATGCACAAACTTTGATTCTCATTCGATCGAAACCTTCCGCCGTTTTACCATTTCATTAGTACTTGTATCTTGGTATAAGTCTCTCGTTGTTGCTGTGCTGTTTATTGTTCTTCGTCACTGCAACGTCCTGTGAACGTTAACTCATTAGCTACCCTTACGGGACACCGGTGTTTGCGCATATTGCACCCTAAGAAAGCGAAACGGGAATGGGTCACGGTACAACCCCAGCTTAAGGTAGACCACGGTCAGGCCGCATGGTTTTGGTATACCCATTCGAGAACAACGTCATCAATGGCAACGACGGCAGTCAGCGAGCACCGACTACAGCATTTTTCGTGTTCTACGTTTCTCGTGTTTACCCGCGCGCGTGCATTTTGTAAGGTCTGTGAACATTGATCTCTGGCTTTTCGAACTGTTGGAAACGAAGCTGGCGGACGGCGGCCATATTGATCCGCCATTTTGTGACGCTGCGAGTACGCAATTGACAATAACGGCGTGGCTATTGGAGAGAGTAACGAAATCGGTAGAAATTCTTTTTGTTAAATATACTGCATGAAAAGTTGAATTAGTGAATTTAAGTTAATTAGAAAATTCGAAGATTTGTGATCTCATAATCCAAAATTTACAGAAAGCGAATAGTAATTGTTAAACTTTCATTTATGAGTTTACTTACCGGACAAAATCTATGGAAAATAAGAATATTGTGTTTTATTTAGAGAAGCTAATGACAGTGTTGAATTCTCAGTTAAAACGACTTTAATTTTGACGCCAAACGAGACAAGAAAGCAGAGGAAATAAAGTCCCTGCGAAACAGATCTGCCGAAAGTGCGCGCGCGCGTGGCTGTGTACCACGGTAGAGTTAGTGAGTTCTGCAATCAAGTATTTAGCAGGAGTGTGTTCACAAGTATTTAGAAAGGAGCTACTCTGAGTGCATGGATTGTAGCACCTTCGGTATAGTGTGTTGAAACTACTGACAGAGGAACATTTCAGCAACTTCCACCTTAAAGACCTTCGGATTGAACTCGATAGAACTGCTTCGACGTATAACATTCTTTGTACATCTATAATACCTAGAATAGAAGAAAAATATTCCTCTGTCTGTGAACGTTCAAGTCTCCGTGCAGCAACACCTTGCATGACACTTGCATGGATACTAGTAATTTTGCGACAGATAATAGAACTCCATGTCCGTAGCCGTTGTTTCGAGAAGAGACAGTCTTCCAAGATCTAAACAAGAAAAAAGAAACAATTCAAGTTTATTAATTATCGCATCGCTGTAACTCCGAGCAATGAAGCTCGTTTAAAATCTGTAACTTGATGTCCTCACGTTTCAAAAGAAAATTGCAACGGGATCAAGAATATAAATTTTTCTAACGAATTTGATATACGAAGAGGAAGTCTGTTTCCATTACGAAGATTCGGCTCGAAATACAGTAACCCGAACACGAAACCTTCCACCCCGACGAATGCTACGCGAGGCAGATCGAACAAACAAAGCACAACGTGGGCCTTCAGCTTCGAACGTGCCACGCCATACGCGCATCATCTTACCGAGGATCTTGATAGGTCTTAGCTTCAGGCTTCGAAAATGCGATCGCGGTATCTCTCGGCACGCAAAAAACGAGGACTCGATCGCAAGAAAGCGACGTCGACCCGCTCGAGTGCTCGAGCTTACACGACCACGCGACTGAATGGAGGATCTGGCTGGCACGGCCAAGTTGAACGCGCATGTCCTCACAGAGAGGCTTCCTAAGCGAAGCTTCTTGCCAAACAAGCTTCGGTGCTTGCGAGATAAAGCGAGCTAACCGGTGTTTCTCTGGCAAGCCATGCGGCTCGTGTCGCGTCATTTGTTCATTGTCGCACGCGCGGCTGCGAGGCTACCGTTTCTGGCCCCAATCTTTTGGTTTCTGAACCTTGCCCTTCCTTTTTGAACTCCCACTTCGCTGTTGGTCGACCGGTTCAGCCTGGTGTCTGCTGTGTTCGCTGGAATAGAATTGGAATGTCTGGGCGCAGACAGTTTCGTTGTATCCTATGAATATCTGTTAATTGAATTGTTTTAGAACTAAGACAGTTGGAAGAAGTAAAGTAGAATATCGATAAATTGTTCAGTTATAGAGGTTCATATTGCAGAAAGTATTTTGATGTTGCAATGAGCATTGAAGTTTAAGAACGCCTTTGAAAATAGGTATCTCTCGAAGAACAAATTCAAATGTTTGATAAGCTGAAATCTAGAGCAAAAGTATCAGCTATAGTTTAAGAATGTAATTTACGAGTATCCGTACTTTCAGTGAAAGTAACAAAACGTTCATTATGCAAGTAAATTTAAGAAATTCTCGTTCCCAATTGATCAATCAACTAAACGGATTAAAGCGAATGGTATAAACTGATTAAAACAAAGAATGCAGCAGACGCAACAGGAACGCTAGAAACGACAACACAGTATCAGCATGTGACACGGGTGAACTTAATTTTTGAGTCTGGCCTCGCAGCCGGAAAGAATCCACGTATTGCTACCGATACGAGTACCATGCGAAGTAATGGCGGATGTGCTGAGGCGAATCTTAAGCAGCTCGATCGAGCACGATTCGGATTTGACGCGTCTAAAACGTCTCGTTCCTGTGGGATCTCTGATCGGATCATCCTCGATTCTCAAGCACGCGAACTATCTTCCGACACCAAAGTCGATTCTTTCGTCGGGACCACTTCTAACAGTGAACGATACCCATCGGCGTCATGTTTGCTCGTTGAAGATCGAAACTGCTTGGGTATGTCCGAGATCCGATACTCTGAATCCGCTTTTCTTACACGAAAACTCATATATATATATATATATATATATATATAAATATATAGATATTCAAGTGCTTGCATTAAGGATCAAAGAGATCATTGATATTGATGTACACTTCTGTCTGTCGAACGAAACTCGATGTTACTTGCGCCGAAATGTCAGACCCAACGTGACGACACAAAGCTCTACTACACTGTTTTATCTCGCTGTTGACGGAAACATTTTGCGCATACTGAATGGCGTATGATCGATATTTTACGATGCAAGTGTCAAGAAATCCCTTCTGTATTTTACGTGTCAGTGTGTGTAACCGACTATTGTATATGCCGTTCTCCCATCCAGCCCCCTGAAACCCCTCCGAAATGTTTATTTCTCCTCTACCGCCTAAATTTGATTTCATTTAATTTAATGTATCGTTCTGGTTGATTCAAAAGGAGCCCGGAGTGGTTACGGTAGCATGAAATGATGTTTTCTCGATGGTCAAAGTAGCGTTTTGAACAGCACGTAAATCTTGTTCTTCCCCATTCCGCTCCGTACGGACACGATTTTCTTTACGAGTTCGGACCGGAATTTATCGTTGCCGATTGGTTTCGTTCGTTGTTTTCACACGGTGGTTTGAGTTTTCGCCGTTTGATCGATGGACGATTTGACGGGACAGACGCCCTAGTTCGTAAGGAAACGCAGAAACAGTCTCAGGTGTTGTATTCCGATCTTTCATTCGATTAACCCTTTGCGAGCTTTAATCAGCAACGCGGGGATATTCCTTAATACCGCGTGCACGTTGATTTCCGGAACTGTTCGAACGGCTTCAGCTTTCCAACGCTTCGCTGTCTTTTAATGCTACAAAGGGTTAAACACTTCGAGCTCTATACGTTTGTTTCGATGAGCTGAACAAGCTTCGACCGCTGTTGGAAAGTTTGGCCAACGAGGTGTGTCCTGTTTCACCCGGAAAGAGGAGAGCTAAAATCGCAAGTGATAGAGTGAAATAATTTTCCTTAATGCACATATCGTTGCCGCGTCGGAGTAAATGATTTTTTCGGTGACCGAGGCCGACGTTAAAATAGGTGAGCGCTGTTTAATGGCAATGCGTAAGTAGTTGGTAAGAACGCGACGTCGACAAGGAACCGAGGCGAATTTATTTCGCGGCGAATACTGTCGGCGAAGGATTATTTGCCCTAGCGTTTATTAATTTTTTACCGGACGTAGTACGATAGTGATACAAGGTTATGGACTAATGTTAAGCAGTGCTTAGCTATAATACAAACGGTACGGTGACGATTGGTAGATACCCACCGCGCGAGGTCTTGATCAATTGGTCACCGTGATGCATGGGTAATGATCATTGGACGTTAGACATATCTAAGACGAACATACGATTGGCGATTATCGGTAAATATTGTCGCACTTTCTGTTACCTGTTCTTCTGTCAATAATAAACACACGTTTTTTACCGAAACGACCATTTTACATTTACGCTTTCTACTAGCAACATTTGAGGTCATTATTAACGTTGGATTATCGGAATATCGTCGATAAATTTTGACGAATAAATTCACTATTACCCATGCAAGTTCTCGAAGCACTGAACAAGTCACCTGTATAGGCCGCGTCGATAAATTGTTCCGGTCAGAAAGTGTCGGAGCAACGTTTGTGAGGATGTTGAACGTGTTCAGTGCTGGTCACGAGTGAAAAATGACGAGGCTATGTTGTAATTCAAATGACTGTTACTATTACTGAGGATGGTGTGTCGAGTCTCAACTAAAATTCGCGTGTACGCTGTACCGATGCGAAATAATTGTTAACGCGAATATAATAGACTATCAGATGCAAAAAGGTGATACTTTGTTGACTTACCTCATTGCAAATATACGATGGATGTGTACAAATACGTTTCCCCCGCACCCCCTAAAAGAATACCCTTCTCTCCAGGTTATTTCGTAAGCAAGCCGAAGCGATATTTTCATCTCGCGAGTTGTGGGAAGAACGGAAACAAAATTGGATAGTAGTATAAGAAGAATTATAAAAGTTGTTGCGTGTATTCGGCGAATACGGAAGCGGAGATAATCGAGGGCCTAGACCGGCCTGACATTTTGACATGTCATATCGCAATTCGCAATAAAGTTTATATGTCATACAATATTGTTCTGTTTATTTCCGATGAGCATGGTTATCCCGAAGAAATGAATTTTTCAATCATCAAAGGAGCACGTAAATTTGTGTGAATAAATAATAACGCACCAATTGTTACAATGAAATATAATATACTTATTGTAAAAGTTCATTGAAATATATCCATGCTTTAATAGATCCTCGGTATATCCGTTTCTATTAGTTATATGCTATAACAGTTTTGAAGGAAAGATTTAAAATTTTAAATCTATGTTAAAATTTCGAAGCTTACTACCCTTATTCGTAGAAGGCGCAACAAGTCCGCGTTCTACGCGATCGGTATTTCAGATCATTGGACACGAAATCTGATACAATGTCAAACCTACCCTATTCCTCGTCCAGTAAAACTATAGAATTGGATATTTAATATTATATCTTGTATAACACATCAATTTGAGAAATATTGGAATAAAATAACTTTGTTCCCCAATGTACGTACGATTTCTCTTCCAGTTAGTTTCACAAAATATCGTCTTTATCTCATCAGAAAATGTTCAAATATTTCTACTGAAAAAGTTCCGAGTGCAAAGGGTCAAAACTTTACAGGGAGTGATACTTAAATGACACGTTGTTGCAAAATTTATCATCTTAACTTTCGAATCCCCAAAAATCCCTCTAGTAAATATTGTTTCCATCTAAACGGAAGCTGTATACAAAATTTCAATCCAATCGAATTGCACAGGAAAGACACTCAATGGGTTCTTATCATTAATCTACGAAGGGTTCACAGAAAATAAAAGACGAAACCATTTCAGAGTAACTTCAGATTTATTCTCGCAGCTGGTTACTTTCTTTCCAACAATTCTTTCCAACAAGTAATGTGAACAACATCGAACCCATCAAACAAACGAAGGAACGCAGTCGACCGCAAACCGCCTGATGTCCAATTGTTACGCGAATTCGACTAATTCTCTTCCTTCTTCATGCAGTGGCCACATTTACTGCAGAAATCCTCGTTCCCTTCGTTGCTCAATCTCTTTTCGTCGGGAACCCCGTCTTCCTCCATCGACGACAGACCGTCGGTGAACGAGCGATGGCAAATGGCGCCTATGGTCTCGCTCCTCGGCAGATTGGCCTCTGTCATGATCATGGACGTTAAGTCGTTGGCGCAATCTTGAAGGCCGATCCTGATGGAACCGTTCACGGCGCCGTGATCCGGACGAGTTCTAGAGTTTTGTTTTCGCAATTTTTTCTCCGACGCCGGATCGTCCAACAGATCCTGTTGGGTCGCCGAGCTTTCGCCAGAAGCATCTGACGGCGTAAAATGTTCATTTTAAAATGGTAATTTCAGCGACTCTCTTTTAGTTTTATTGCAATTTACTCGGAACTGTTTTAGCTTTATTTTTACGGGTATGATTTTTAATACTTGAAGGTTACACGTAGATTATTGATATTTATTGATGTTGCTTGCCATTATTGAATTGGTTCGCGTCGGATCCTGTCTCGCCGGTGCAAGAGTCCTCGTCTTCCTTCAGCGGTAACTCGGAGGACATTTCGATAGCTGGGCGACAGCAGGCGTAGCCCTGGAACATGAACAACGTGACTTTTCATTTATCGAGTAGAATCATTCCTTTTGAAAATTAGATTATCGCCTTTTTGTAACAGAAATACGACTGTATAGGAAAGAATTTGATTTAACGGATTCTTTCTATTACAGGATACGTTAAGTGTGTTATTTATAGTATTTTGCGGATAAAATCTATTTAAAATTCAAAAATACTCTTCTGCTCATATTAGGAATTTGTTTTTTGTACCTGTACCAAGTCCATGCGAGAATCTAAGGAGAATTGCTTCCCTGACATGAGTATTCCCCGAATTCGACGTCGCATAGCTACAATCATCAAGAAAACACTATTATTTTATATTCCTTAATGTTGTGCAATTGCAAAAGTTCAGTGTACAATTAAAACTTTGCTTTTCATCGGTTACCTGGACTATCTCTAGCTTCGAGTCGCAACTGTCCGAAAGCTTTCGTGCATTCTTCGAAAACGTCCGCCGTGTCGTAGATCGCAGCGAAGCTGCCGTTCACTATTTTCGGTGACATCGGCGAATTGGCCAGTAACAAGCTCGAACCGAAATTTTCGTTCTTCTCCCGAGTATCTGAAAATGCGGAGATCTACTGTCATCGTTACCATAATTAGGAAACACAGCGTTAATTAAAAATGATGAATGAAACGAGAAATAAAAGAACACATATATCAACGAAACAATAAATAGCCAGAAACTCGTCTTACCTGAGCTTTCTGCACTCCGAATATTATAGTGCATTTTTACGGAACAAACAAAAAGAAACGTAAAACAGTACTATTAGAAATCAAATCGTTTATTGTTGTTTGTACAGACTGTTTAATGTAAGTCGGTAACCTAAATGAATAGGGGGGAAAGAAATTAAAATTGAAATAACCAAGCGAATCTCGTGATTTTGAGCGTTCATTTATAATGTCGATCTACATGTACAAATCGAGAACCTTAAGATTCACTATGATGTGCGTTGTTAATTCTAATAATTTCAGATTAACACATTCAAATTTAAATGAAAAGACATTAAGCTGAGAAGAGTGTTCAAACAATTCTCGTGCAATGAAAATGCAAGAACGTTTAATGCGCTAATTTAAATTCATCGTTCAACGGAATCAGTTAAAATTACTTAGAAATATTGTCTGTTAGTCGATATATTCATTTCATTCCTCGTGAAATAAACGCAATAATAAAAGGAAACAAAACTTGGCTTGGTTTATGAAGCTGAAACAGAATAGTACTTTTAATAAGGAAAATAAGCTTACATTCCAGACTTTTGTTTCGAGCAACGTGCAAAATGTACATGCACAATGCTCGCAGGCTTGCTTTTAAGAGTCAATCGTGTTAATACGGTTCAACTAAGCTACGTTATTTTTCGGGTCTGCATTACCTGCGAGTGGAACTCTTGCTCGTACTGGAGAATTCGCAGTGTCTCCTAGGATTTCGTTCGCCGTGTTCCGTATTTCTGCCCAGTCCCTTAATATATCCTCGTTGGTCGTGCTGAAAATTCATTAATATTGCATCTTCTAAAAAATTTACAAATGAAATTCTTACATCTTATACGACATTTATGTTTCCTGACTTTTTTCATTAACTTTACAACACAGATTTAATTTATATATTAGAATATATTATCAATGTATAATAAACTTCTATTCTGAACTATTTTATCAAGTGTATGCATCACAAATTTACTTTATACAGTAAAATATTTTATCCATTTATAATACAGTCGTTTTCTAAATTTTCTTATCAAGTCTATACATCACGAACTTAATTTACACGGTAGAATGTTTTATCAATTTACGAGCAGGTTGTTTTCTGAATTTTCGTATCAAGTCTACGTCGCAAATCTAATTTACGTAGTAGAATATTTTATTAATTTACGATCAATCCCTTTTTTTGAATATTTTTATCAAGCTCACAACTGCAACTCACTTAGTCGAGGTGACGGTGAATCTAATTACGTATTTTCCGTGTAAAGCTGCCGGTACACAGTGTACTCGACCTCTGGTGTTCATTTTCTTTAGCAAACGTTCCGTTAAAGTGTTTTCACCGCGAAGACGGAAGACAACCATCCCCAAGTGTCGCGGCGCCGGAATTTCGAAGCGTGCGTCCGCTAAAACTAGTGCCTCGAACTTTTGTGCCAACCTGACGCCCTGCAATCACCATTTTGAATTGAACTATCGACGAATAAATTGAATTCTGGGCACATACATATGCAACATCTCAAACACGTGCAATTTTACATTAAACTCATGTTTAAATCTTTTCTAAAATCATTCTTTGTCTTTTATTTGGTGCATTGGAAACTATTATTTTTAAGATTATTCAAGATTAATCGAGTATCTATTAATAGACTAATGGACAAATGATGTTATAATAAGTAGCAATAATAGTAATAACAATAATCTACAGCACAATTTATATTATTCACATTTATCGCACATATAAATTTTGTTCCCATTTCTGCTGCACATTTTAAATGCATTAGAAAACTGTTGCAAGTGTTTGCGGCCGTGCGTATACTTTTCAACATGAAAGCATGATGTAATAGAAACCTCGCGAATATGTTTCTGAAGGCCGGTGATTCCGTAATTTCTAATGACGAACCACAGTTTCAGGGCTCTAAATCTCTTCGACAACGGGATTTGCCAGTGCTAAAACATCGTTCAACAGAATAATTATTGATACGAAGAAATGTATTCGATAATATTTCGTGAGCATAATGATTAGTTACCATATAATCGATAGCAAGCCCTGGAAGTAAATAATATGCCGTGTTTAATCGCATATCACGCTTCGCCGAACGCGAGACGACGATTTAAGAACGACACGGAAGAAAATATCGGTGCTTGGTTACCTGAATTTTCATGCTTCAAATACAACGGGTCCACGTTGAAAGTTCTGTGAAGCGCTTGGCTGCTTTTCACCCTAAAGCACTCGTCAAAACGATCGCTAATTAGTCCACCGAGGCCGTTACTTCTTATCATTCGAATCTCCTCCATTAATTTCATGTTTACGTGGAATCTTATTTTTCACGGTCGATTTCACCCCACGGCGTTCGAATTAATTACCATCCACATTGTAATTCAATGGAACCAATCGCATTTTCGTTGTAAATCATCGCTTTAATTACTCTCTGTGAATCTTCTCATGAACAAACAATAACGAAGCATAAAGAAGCTTACAGATATTTAAATTTCTAATAAGCGGACACCAACGCGGATTCAATAAAATTCCAATTCCATTTGATTGAAAATGATGATTGCGTCGAAAGTGAAAATTAACTGTTCCGAATAGAGTTGCTTGCTTAAACTAGAATGGAACGATGTTAGGAAGGTCCGAGAGTGTTTGACTAATAGCAATTGACCGACAATGAACAATTCATCGTAAAGTAATAAACCGATGGATGTGTCCGTTCGCCGTGCCATCGCCTTTAAAAGACACTTAAATATGATTCCGAAAGATTGTGAATTATGTCAGGTCGGTGGAACGGTTCAACGGAAATTGCAGGAAGAATGAAAAAACCGATTGTGCATCCGCAGGACGACCTATAAACCATGAGAAAGATGGCGAGGTTTTGAAGAGCATGCGCACTTATGGGTTACCTGCGCGTGTTAGTTTGTGTTATTTGTTGTTTACCGGCGACAAACACGTAAAACGTCAAACGTTCGATTAGATTATTATTTGGGTTTCACTCACCACATCGCGGTGCAATCGAAGTGCACCATCAGCCATTTGCTAGGATTAAATGCTATCGAATCGGCATATTCAATTCCTTGAAGCCAACCACGGAATTCGGGGCACACGAATGCACTGCCTGCGTAGGCTGCATCCACGTGCAGCCAAAGTCCGTTTTCTACACCTATCGAATACAGCGAAGAATTGTTTTTCAATTAATATTTTCATTAATTACGTAATTTTTAAAACATTAATGTATGACGATGTTTAAATACTATAAAATATATAAATATTTAAAAAGATTTTAATATTTTAATGAATTCGTCAGTCCTAACGATCGTTTTATTTGAAAGACTAAAATTCGATCGAACGTTTTTATTGAATTTAAAACAATTAAAATGATTTATGGAAATATTTGATAGATTTAAAGAAATGGTCAATGAATTGTATTCTTTGTGTTACTTACACACTTGCCCAACTTCTGTGAGGTTGTCAAAAGCACATGCACCGGTCGTACCCAGAGTGGCGCAAACCTTTGTAAATTATTTTCATCAAGTTCACAAGAAGTCGCAAATGTAACATCATTAATTCATAGTTTGTAATTATACAAAATTCTATTGTTAATGATATAAATAGGTATTATTCAAAGTTTAGTGGAGGTAGCATTAAAATGCGCTATCGGTTTAAATTGAAGCCTACTGGAATCTCTCAACAAAAGTGTCTTACTTTCAGAGATATTAACTTCCTACACAACTGTGACTTGAAAAATGAAGCACGCCGCCCTTGGGGACCAACTAGCGTAAAGACAATCCGGCTTGCAACGTCATGTCTGCCTTCTTTTCTATCGTAACTGCCGACAATTCCGGTAAGGTTAATTGGTAGATCGATATCTTTATACCACGGAACCAATCTCTAGCCGAATTACGTTAATTGGAAACAATCATCGGGAGCACCGTGCACCGCCTAACTCTTTTTGCAATTCTGCAGCAATATATTGCACATAAAATATTATTCGCATATATTAAGACATCTCATAAGTGCCATCTTCCGTGTATTCCAATTTACAGAAATAAAGAAGTCGTAATCGTTTGAAGGCGAATTTAAAATACAATTCAGGGATGAAACACGATTAGAGAAATTAATAGCAAAACGGTTTATGATCGTACTAACTTGTTTACACTGTTCCACATTCAAAATCAATTTCACCGTTACCGATGGTTGTTAACACTTACATAAAATGGGAGCAGACCCTCTGCTCTGTCGCGCGTTATTGCTTCGAGTAAAGCCTCCCCTCTCATACTGAGTTCGTCGTCGGATTCGATGTATCTCATTCGCACCAGACCTATCAGACCAGCCTTTTCAACACTCGAATGAGCCTATAATAATATAAAGTACTAGAATCAAATCAAAATTCACGCACCATTTCGATTAAAAACATTTTTCTCCATTCTTCAGCTACAATAAACGTATAGTTTCTTTAGAAATAAATATTAAATGTTCCGAATCTAATAAAAAGTCTTATACAGAAACTCTTTACGAATCGATCACTTTATGCTATCAAATTGTAATACTTTGAAGTTCGAAAAAATTAATTCACATAGAAGACGTTACTAATGAAGTGGACGACAAGCGATATTAATAGTTTCGAACGTTTCAGTGCGTTTACAAAAGATACTCGGGAGAACAGCGTGTCAGAGAAAAGTGTTCCGATTATTACGCGTTACGTAATGAAAATACGTACTTGGTCGGAACAGTACGCGACAAGACGTGAATTGATTTCGGCTGGTAGACGGTCCGGTTCATTTTGATGCACGTCTCTAATGGCTCGGGTTCTTGCTGCGAGTAAGCAAACGAGAGTGGCTTCCGACGCGGTGGTTTGTATCACGCCACCACCACCGGATCCTCCTGGACGATGCAAGAATTCCTCTGGCAGGCCAATCATTTTGCCCAGCCAGTTCATTACGATGGTCTCCAGTTCCGTGCACGCGGGGCTCGATGCCTTTTAAAGTGTACCCATCGGATTCGAAAGTTTAACATTTGAAAAATGAATTTCCTTTTTCTTTTAATTCGGCTAATTATCATAATATTCAATACATTGAGTGCCGTACGATTTTGCTGAGAAAAATATACAAAATGAAAATAATGTGACATCGATATGTGTAATTGAATTACGTTATTATTATTGCAGGTTTATCTTGTCGAATGTCACTGCATTAGGTGGTATTAGTTACGATATAGAAAAGTTTTCAAGTAATCACCATTTAATCGAATGAATTATAGTAATTCGATTTGGTTGAGGTCACCGGTGACCAACGTGTTAACCGTATCATCATACCCACTACGTAATAAATATCTTAAAATTGAAATACATTGTGTTTTACACAATATATTATTTCTCGATGGAGAACTAAAGACTGTCCTCTGTAGGGACTTGCTGAGAACAGAGATGTATATTAACGGCGGAAGACAAAACACCGGATGTGAATAGTGCAACTTTGAAACTCGAGTAAGTCTCTGGGTACCTCTAAATGCGGAATTTACTATTAATTTTCAGTATACTGGCTCATCGTAAATTTCAACTTTAATTTGTACGTATAATAATTTTAACTTTACGTTAAATGTTGAATGTCGGTGAATACGAAACGTTGAGGGATATTAACATACAATATTCCAATAAATCGATGGCCATCGATGACGTATTATTACAAAATATGTGTAACATCTTTTACATTTGAAGTACAGTTCCTTTGTGTACGCATACCTTCGAACTTCAATCGAAAGAATTACATCAGATTCTCAATATATTACATCCTGAACTGACTGTACTAGATTTAAAATGAATAATGTGAAACGTAATACAATTAAGTAAATTATCTCTCGAAATTTGAATGGAGTCATTCAATTTTTCCGATGGAAATCTCCACAAAATGTACTATTCCCACAAAACAAGAATAACTTCTTAAATTCTTAATAAATTGCATCATGAACTAACTGTAATTGATTTAAAATGAATGATGTGAAACTTAATGAAAGAAAGTAAATTGTCCCCCTCGAAAGTTGGTTTCGTTGAATTTTTCTGATGTAAACCTCCGGAAAGTGTACCATTCCCTCAAAATAAATGTAACCTGGCATGCTTTATATCTGCGAATATAGCAATGTGAACACGTTTCGCAACTTAATAAATAGGATTGCTCCGAATGATGTTAATACTCTTACCCAAGTAAATCCAAGACAATTGATTGCGTCGGCCAGCATATCAGCCAATAGACTAGCGGGCGAATTTAAGGCGGGAAAGTAAGCGTGCATGTGCGGACTCTGCCAGTGGGTCACTCCAGGCATGATGCACTTTTCGATGTCGGCGAATATGTCGTCCCAGGGTTCGCCGTTTACCGGTGCCGACGACGGCAGGATATTCCTCAGGTAACCCGGAGAAACCGCTGGATAGACGCGTCGGGACCGGATGTTCGCCAAATAATCGGCGATGTAGTCCACCATTTCTTTTCCTGAGAATTGGGAACAATTTCGTTTCGCAATTTATTTTCTGCATTCGTTGCAATTCATCCCGTTTCTCTTTTATAAGAATGGAGGCTTGAACATTATACATCCAGAAATACGACAAACTAAATTATTAACCCTTTGCACTCGAAAATTGTTTCGCCAGATATATTCCTGATTTTCTAATGAAATATCAATGATATGGTTTATAATTAATATTAATATAAATAGTATAGAAATTAAGGGATAGAACTATTCTATTTTAACGTTTCATAGATAATTAAGTTAAATGAACTTTAATATTGAACATCTAACTTTATAATTTTGCTGTATCAAATCAAATGGCGACTGTGAGTCGAGTGCAAAGCGTTAAAACAGACGAAGTACTTTGTCTTTATAATAAAGTTCCTAAATAATACTGTTATAAACTACAAGAGACTCTAAGTCATCCAATTCAAGTGATAGATAATATTAATCAATAGAATAAACAATAACAGTCAATCTAATATTCAATTAAAATTGCTTATACTAACATCGAGAAGATCTAGTTTCATCGGTTTTTCAAATCGAATTATAATTTGCAAATGTCATCAATTCATACTATTTCTTTTCGTATCATTTTAATCAATGAACAGACTCGTGGTACAAAAATCGATTATCATTTCATTTCTATTCCAAACAAAACAGAAAGAACGTTTCGATACCGACATTCCTCTAAACGGAAACAGTTATTTAACTTCAACGGAGAAACCTTAAATCGATTATCCGAGAATCTTTTCTTTCCGAGGATCCTCGAGCACTCGCGGGAAACACTTTCCTCGATGCAATCGTGATCTCGAGCCATGGTCATTGTTTCTTCCCCAATTCGTTCGGGGTTGCGCGTCGCGTGCAACAATGCGATTCGATTCGCGTTATTTAAGCGTTTCTTTAAACTTGCGTCTTGCCGTTAGGTAAACACCGCGAAGAATCCTCGGATCGTTCGGTATAAAACTGTTGCACGGTGACACAGATTTTCGAACGGCATTTAGATCCGAGACGATGCTTGTTTCCGTGTACCGTTGCCTGCTTTATGAAGGCCGGGAGGACAGAGCTGAGCCAGGAAGGTCGACGTTCCGCGTGAAATTGGATTTAAGGAAAAGGGAAATCATGGTCAATCGTTCGCCTAGGATTCACGATAGATTTAGGTTCTAAAGACAGAAGTCTAGCGACAGGCTGTATTGGAAACGGTATCGGGTCCATAAAACTCCCATGGACTTGCTCCCGTTCGGTGATCCCTCTTTATTGGCGCCATTTTAACGCTCCCCGGCAACGACTCGCGCGTAACCCACTCCGACGAAGATTACAACGTTCGCAAACGTTTACAGGAATCGTAAACATCTGTGGTAATGCCTAGACGGCGCGCGACGATGCCGACGAGACTTTATAGTCATCAGTTTTATTCCGATTATGCGTTATTCGAAGTAAACTGGCGCTACTCGATTGATATCCTTAACGGGAGCACGGTCTTAAACGTGGGGACGGTTGTTTGGGGAATTTAAACGGAGAGAGTTTCGAAATGTCAGTCTTTTATTCGTGTGAAGTTCGTAGTTCGATGTTTTGCATTTGGTTCGATTATCATGTTTGTAAAGAATAATAATGAAATAAGATAAATTCGAGGATTAGATAGTTGTTTATGCTACTCACCATGCTTCCGATACTCCTCTAGATTCATATTATCTGTAACGAGATAAACAGTGTTATATAATTATTCTATAACGAAGAAAGGTGTTTTTCGGAGTTTTATTTGAATATTCTGGGTGTCTCTGAAGGACAATACGAAATTGAATAAAAGTAAGAGTCAGAGAATTTTTATTTCCGAGATACGAGAGATTACAGAATAATCATGAGAAACTGATCATAGTGAAAATCCCTTGTAACAGCATTTGCACAGATAGATTCCATTTTATTCAATTCCGCCCGCTTCGTCAACATTATCAACATTAGTCTCTCCGGAAAAACTCACCTTAAAGGCTAAAACTAAAGAATAAAAAATCCAGCGAACGAAATCGAAGATAACAAAGCAAAATACACGGGAACAGCTCGTCCACAAGACAGACACTTAATACGGATTTCACAAGCTCAACGATTATTGAAAAGTCTGTAGTTTCCGACACAATGCGCCCGCATCAAGCTTATTACGATTATTGAAAAGTCTGTATTTTCCGACACGGTGCATCCGTATTAAGTTTCCGGCGCGAATGAATTCTTCGCCGCGGCGAACGCCGTTTCCCCCCTCACCGTGTCGACTCTCACAACAGCCAGATTTCGAAATTTCGGTGGCACCGTATCAGGCGCATGTGGCGACGATTAATTGACCTCGCCGGCGGAAGTTGCAGCTCACGGGAGGAAGGAGACAGGAGTCGGCGAGCCGTTTCGCGGAAGTTTCGATTCGCAGCGACGCAACGGATTTCAGCGTAAAGACTGAAGGGGATACGCTTAGCTGGCCCGTATGCGTGTTGACCTAGCACCGAACTTTCACGCTACGACGGGCAACCGCGAATGATTTTGTAAGGATTCATAATCATCGATCGCTTGTCACATGGGCCACAGAGCTTATTAGGCTAGTGTCACAAGGCTCCCCGCGGCCTAGAACTAGATTGACCGCTTTCGACTGCGCGATCTGACCTTTCTTCCTGTCTTCGGAAGTTGAAGAACACTTGACTTTCCATCAGTCACGTTAAACTTGCATTTATTTTGTCGCTGAACGACGATCACCTTCGAACGCTAATTACCTTAATATTGGTTATCAAAAGGAACGATGATCGGAACGCAATGAGTTACGAGATTATATAACGATGTTTGTAGTTTGGCACGTAATTCTTTTTAACATATGTGGATTCGGTTCTTCGATGAATTCATTGTTATAATATGAAATTTCGAGAGAATTGGGAGAAAAATTTTCTTCTGTATGGCGTTCCAGAGATAATTCCATTTGGATAGAGGAACGAACAATATTTGGAGTGGATCGTTTGATTAATAGAGATTTATGTGGTAAACGAAGATTGGGTCGTGATGGAGCAGAAGTGAGAACTGCATGGTTGGGATCGTTTTATGGAATACTACAATGGAAAATTTATTAATTAAATTGATTGTAAGTGATGACAGATGGTAGCGAAATTCGAAATAATTTTACTGTGGTACTGTTGCATGATTTCTTGATAAAGCTTGGTTATATTTTGAACGAGGAAATTGTGAATGAGAAAAAAGTTTAAAGGGAATTAGTACGATCACATTGATGTGTGAAATTACTAGAAAGTTCAACGAGAATTAAATGAGGAAGTGAATCTTGGGTTACTGCACGCGTACGTAAATTGAGTAGACAAACGTCTGGCAATACACTAAACAGGAAGTGAGTTCTTCCGAAGTATTAATCCTGTTTTCGGAAACAGAGAATCTCACTCGTGAGAGCTACCGTAGTGCGAACATGTTAGCGTCTTCCGTGCAGCAGATCGAAAATTTAAACGATGGGACTGACACGAGAAATTAACGTTTGAATTTAATTTACAAGTTGAATTATGCGTCCATGCACATGCATTTCATAATACAATTAAATCTATATGTGCAAAATAAGTAAACATATAAATGGGAAAGATGAAGCACTAATTAAAGTAATAAATAAATTTAATTTCTGAGATCTGTTACAAAATACTGTGATAATTGAAAGTTAAAATGGTTGAAGCATTATGCTGGATGTGTCATAGTTGCTGATATAATTTAGAAACAGATGATTCTATGTACAAATATCGATTAAAATATCGCTAATTTAATCAAATTGGAATTCATATGAAATTATTTTCTATAAGAAAACAGCTAGATTTCAGTTATACTACCAATTGTGAAAAAGACCTGTATATCCAATTAATCAAATTTTATTTTGAAAAGTTGCAGTTAATTTTTTTGCATATTTTTTTTCGTTGGTTCTACAGTGCATTTTCATTTTTCTAATACAATCAAATATGAAAAATCAGGTTAATCAATTTTCGACACTACCCGCATTATTACGTCCGTCTGCTTAGTGAAATTTTATTGCTGTTCAGTACATTTTTCACGATCGAGTTCTTATTGCGCATTCAACAGGATCCTTACCCCGGCGAAAAGGATCAACGAACAGGCACCGATCAAGACGTTATCAAGCGGCGATTACACACGAGAAAATAAAAGATCCGAGGGGCCCATACGGGGTGTAAAATGGAAAATCGAACATCGACAGTCGCGAGGATCTCGAGCTTAAGCCAGAATGACGCTCGACGATATTAAAAGCTCGTCCTTCCACCGTTTCCGTTTCCGACTTTTGTAATTTCCCGTAGCTTTCAGTATTCGTGCGCGATTCGAAGGATTTATCAGCGATGCCAGCTGCTTAGGTGTGACGCGAATCACTGGTACCTGATGCCGATTCACGTTTTCACCGGAAAATGGCAGTCAACGAGATGGAAATCAAGATTCCCTTCGCGCATCCTGATACTATCCACTCGCGAATTGTTCGATGAAATACTTTACCCTTGCAGCATCGATTTATCAAAAAGGACATTTCGTCTATGACATTAATGTAACAAATTCTGAACCCTTAGATACCATAAAATAAAATAATAAAAAAGAAAGGAACGATTGAAGAATAAATTTCGCGTTTTGTTGAAACAACTTTGAAATTCCACGGAAGACAAATTATTCAGGAGATGAATCATTGTTAAAGAATATTAGTTTGAAATTGTAAAAATTTTGTAAAATTAAAACGATTATAACTTAGTGTACATCTCTGCTAATTCGAGAAAAATTCTGGTCAACTGTTGTCTTCATCGCTAACACATATTTTAAACCAAAATGGAACAGAATGGTAACAATGTTTTTAATCATATCAGGTGCTGTTTAAATTTTAACCGGCACCAGAATATACTGTATTAATAGAAGCATACAGTATCAATAATTTAGAGTATTAAAAATATATTTCTGTGAAACTGACCTTGTTAAATGTTTAAAATCCAACGATGAATAGGAACAGTGGCGGTTGCTGCGATTAATTTCTTAAGAGATGCTGCGTCGCGATCACTTCTCGAACTGGTATGCAGACAAATTTCGGTACTGGAAACACAGATATATTCACGGTTGAGGAGGATCGGTGGAATGCAAGTCGTTCAACAAGTGGCCGCTTTTATACAGAGACGCGGTAAGTACTAGCCGCTTTGGCGCAAGCGTGGTCCAAGATGGAAAGAGGAACAATTTCCAGTGACTAAGCTGTGCGATCTTAAGGGACTGCCGATGAACGATCTCGCGTTTCCACGCGCAATCTCGATTAATTTTGTTGAATGCATACAAAAGCGCATTATTTTCAAAGAATGTGCCTTATAATGATCGGCCCAGGGTAATTATATAATATCGCCTTTGTGGCGAAGGCTTATGCAAATATATAGATTAAATGTAATTATTGTAAACCGTCTAAGTACAGTCGTGGCTACATGTTATATAAATTGAGATAGTGACATGAATAAATAATAAATAACGAATAGACAAATAAATATACAAAATTAACTAAATAAATAAACAAAAATAAAAAGGAGTAAATAATAAATATATAAATAAATATATATAAATTAAAATAAATAAATTAAAATAAATAAATAAATAGATATAAATAAATAAATTAGTCGGGAAACAGATGTATACAATTAACTGGGTTTAGTATGTACATAGATTAGAATTTCTTAGCCAGTTTCAGGGAATTAGTGTGCCCGAACCTTCGTCATAGAAACCAACTCAAAATATAATGAAAGTAAATAGAAAGAAATAATACAAAAAATAGACAATTAATAAATAAGTAGGTACATGAACATAGATATGTACAATTCGCGGAGCGTTAGTGGTTATATTATGATTAAGTTGGGGCGCATGCGCGTAAGTGCAGATTCAGAGGGATGGTAAGCATAGTGTTAGAGCAAGCGGTAAGAGTAAACCGGGGTTAAAAAAGAAAACAAATAAATAAATAAATAAATAGGTAAGAAAAATAAAAGGGATAGAATAAATAGTTAAATGAAGTAAAATAGTTAAATAAATAGGTAGATAAAAGAGATAAAATAAATAGATATATAGAGTAAAATGAATATAATGATAAATAGAAGTTATTAGTTAAAATATTATTTGTTAAAATGGTGTCAGTAGGTAAATGGCAGTATCACAGTATAAAATATAGTGTATAGACACATGATTAGTGGCTAGGTGTCAACTTTTGTACTTACCCTACCACTGTCTTCCACTGCTGCACCTACTACACTTTTATTGTAATTATCATCTACTTTCTGTCTTAATAGTCTCCATTTGATCTTTTTCTTTTTTTGACTGTGATTAAGTCTTTACGCGATATAAAAATGAAACTTATAACAATTCCAAACCTTTTAAAATGAAGCACTCGCACACCAACTTTACTCTTTGAATTTTTAAAAATTTTGGTACTAAAATTAAATGGTTTTTTTCAAACATCAGATGCTACATCTGAAACTATAGAGTATTATAATACTATCATTTATTTAACAGTAGTTAGCACCCCTTTCTGTGTTGTATAATATTTCTTCCACATGTTATTTTTCAAACTAAAATAAATGCTATATTTCAGTTCTTCTCACAAAATTAATAAAGAAAACTAATTTAGATTTTCTCGACCTCCGGTTAATTTAAATTTAAATAGTATCACGGATAAAATATTTGAATAGTCTGGATACCTTATAGACGTCCTGCTCAAATACTACCTTATCGACATAGAAATCCAAGTTGGTAACATTCTCTTCTCGTAATCGAAATTAATTTCTGACTTATCGGTAACTGATGAAGTAGATTGTGGATTTATTAAGAATAGAAATCTGCATTATCATTTACCTGTTCCTTCCTTCTTGTTGAATCATGCTTAAATACTTGCCACTACCAACTGGTGGCACTAACTTCTGTAAAATCTTTCCAACAACTGTTACCAGATAAATACTATCTAAACTTTGTTATAATAACAAGGCAAAAGGAAAATGAAATCTTAGTATTTCTACAACATTAACTGGAAATATTTAAGACTGTTTTATCTATGAATTTAAAGGAAGAATGCTAATAAAGTGTAAAAGCAGCATAATAACGGTGTATAGGATAAATTGGTATTTCAAATTGTTCATTAAGAAGCAGTCTTAAATTTTTCTAAACGACCTTCTTCATTCGTTTTTCTCAGTTCTTAAATGATTCTGACAGAACATAAATATCAATTTTAGTGTTTAACATTTCATTTCTTATAAACTAAACGCTAATGCACATGACACACTAAAAGCAAGAATCTCTATAGAATTACAATAGAATCGATGATTCGAAGTAGCTGATAAATTCATCTTGAGCTACAGTTAGGCATTCGCATCTGCAAAGGGTTTATTTTCCTATGCCGTTTACGATCCGCGCGACCAAAATATCAAAGAGAATAATTGCAGATATTCTACAGAGCCATTAATCCCAAAATCACCGCCAT